ACGACTTGGGAGGCACGGACTGTCGAGGGTTTCTTCGTGTATGTCTCGATCTCTTCACAGCGTCGACTCGATGACGCGGAGACGACTTGAGGACGTAGCGACGACAGCGATGACCCCGACTCCCACGGCAGCCCTGAACCTCGCTTCTCGCCCCTCCCCCCCCCCTTCATCCTCTTCTCGAACTCTTTCGCAACGTTCCCGAAGCCTCCAGATCGTTCCCCTCCTAGTTCCCTGGCCTGGTTATTCCCCCTTTGGGTCGCTAGGCGTATAGACTGTCTCTGTTGTGATCCTATCCTGTTTACGCACCGGTAGTTTTTTTTCAGTTTTCATTCATTAGGTATAACCCTGTGAGCCATACGGCTCTTGACTCGGGTGCAACCGCAACACAACAAAAACATGAACATCTCAAAGTGACTACACGCAACAGAAACATCCTGGAAAAAACAGCAAAGTCACCGCTAGTCCACACACTGTCTCCACGTATATGTAGAAAAAACTAATCCCATTAATTTTCAAATGTTCCGGTATCGTCGTGTAGATTTCTCGCTGCTGCTGCTGCTGCTGAAAACAAGTGGTTCCCTGTGTGGTGTTGCTTTGTGTTTTTTCTGTTCGTGCCGCGGCCACACTCCGCGTGCCCAACGATCGGAGCAGCTCCCAGGGACAGTGATCTCCACTGCAACGGCTGCTCGTGTTGCGTTCGTTGTCCTTCCCCGATCAGCACGGTTGACGACGTAGGGTGCGAGAGAAGTTCAACACTCGTACAGACACAGGCGGGGCTCGCCGCTGTGTGTGTGGGACACGATCTGGCTGTAGGCAGTCCAGAGCGTGTTGCCTTCCCCGTGGCCTTGAGTGCAGGCCCCTGACGTGCGGTCCACCGACAGCAATATAAATGTACCCCCCCGCCCCTCCATGATCGTGCTGCCTGTCAAAGCCCAATGGTTTCAAATGTGTGGTGGCCCTCAGCGCTCACGATGTCTTATCGGCGAAAGTGGCATCCACATCTGATAATGTAATTAGCGAAGAGCGCTGGTTGGGCGGAATGTGGAGTTTTGTGTATTCTTTCACTGCGCACCGAGCTCGAGCTCTGGAGCAGGTGAATGTGGGGGTGGTGAGTGTGGGGCAGTGGAGCTGGTGAGTGTGGGGGTGGTGAGTGTGGGGCAGTGGGGCTGGTGAGTGTGGGGGTGGTGTGAGTGGGCAGTGGAGCTGGTGAATGTCGAGGCTGGACTCTGCGACTGAACTTTGATGGGCGGCAACTCTTTCCCGACGAAGGAGCTGTCACGGCAACGTGGGGGAACTCGTCGGCCGTCTTGTCGCACGCTGCACGAAACGAAACACACACAGGGGCAAGATGTCGATGCCTCGTGTCGTTGTGGAGGTTGTGTTCATGTGATCGTTGCGGCGATCGGGGAGCGGTAGTGCAGCGCAGTGGTCAGCGCGCTGCGCTACGAACCCGCCGACTTGAGTGCGATTCCTGCTCTCGAGAAATGCACCACAGTGGAGAATTATTGGAACCGGTTCTGGGCCTCCCCTAGGTCGACCCAGCTTAAATTGAGGACCAGGCGCTGTGTGAAAACATCGCTACTAAGGAGACAAAGGCGGTCGGGCGTGGTGCTGGCCACCCACCCCCTCGTGTACCGTTCCGGCCTTCATAGGTGCTCGCTAACAGCACTTGCCCTAACAGCCTGTTAAGGCTATACGGGGGATCTTTGTCTTTGTATGCTGGCCACCCACCCCCTCGTGTGCTGTGCTGGCCTTCATAGATTCTGGCTGACGGCACTTGCACCTACAGTCGGTTCAGGCTGTACTGGGGATTGTGTTTTTTTTTCCTTCGTGTGTGCGTCTCATGTTCAAGTCATGCACCGATGCGCCGCTACGAGCGGACTCGGTGCCGTCACGGAAATGTGGAATGTCCACAATCGCGTCGTTTGGCCTCTCACCCCTCGATCACTCTCGACTCGCTAGGGCCTCCTCGCGGCGACTCGATGAGAGCCGCAGTTGTTTAGAGCTCGGGTTGAGTCCCCGACCCGGGCGGGCGCCCGGCTCAGCCCATTCACGGCGGGGAGTCGTATCTCTCCTGTGTGTCAGTGCGCATCGCACGTGCGTCTGTCTAATCGTTTCATATCGATGTCTGTTTAACACGTAGGCTTTCGCGGCCAATAGCATCCATGATAGAGTTTTTTTGGGGTTATATCGCGATCTAAACCAGCCGATTTAACCCCTAAAAACGATTATGGATCAATGTCTGTGATTTGAAGCTTTCGTGACTGCAAGGATTCATATTCTTAGGTTTTTTTCGGTAAAGTCACGTAGGTAGAAAAATTAAATTATTTTATTTTTATTTTACTTTTATTAATTTAAAATTTTTACCTACGTGACTTTACCGAAAAAACCTAAGAATATGAATCAATGTCTGTGTCTGTCTAATTGGTTGACGCCGAAGTCCGTGTGTCTGTGTGTTTGTTAATTAAAAAAAATTGGTTTCATCGTGTCTCTGTTGATCAGTTAGAAAATACCGCGGCGCACCTGGGCACCGTAGAAGCAGAGACCACAGAACTACTTTAAAGATTTATTCCAGCGACTAATAATCCAGACCACGAAGTGAACAATCCCTTCTTCCCAAGCGCCCCGCGATCAGAGAAATTCTCATCAGATGACGGTCAACCTACACGGTTTTTGTTTATTTTCAGAGTTGGAATGTTATCCAAAGTTACGTGCAAAAAAGACATTTGGATGTGACGGGGTTATTTTGTGTGCAGCCAATGGTGATCGGCCACTAACTACGCTTGATCATGTTTGTGTATCACTATCGCGTTTTCGTATTGTTTGTTGTTGAAGCGTTCTGACCCCGTGCCCCTGTTGGACATCTGTGAAAAAAAGCTTTATAGCTCATCAGATTCCTGCAGTATAAATAAAGATTCTGATTCTGATTAATCACAGGCGGCTGAAACTTATAGTTGAACTCAAGCCTTCTGAGTCGTTATCCCCACCCACCCAATCACCATTCTCAGAGCCCTCTTTAATGCATTATCCTGGATGATTTTAAATATATTTAAATTAATACATGTATAAGCCTCGTAGCATATGACCAATAGCGTCGTCTAATAATTTTACGCGAATTATATTTTCACCTTTATTTGAAGTAGAAATACAACCGCTAACATTTTTATTAAAATCCTATGTCCTGAGCAAACGCATTTATTTCCTTTCAATATTATTGCCGTGAATATGCCAGAGAGGCAGGGTTATTGGGGAATTATGAGGTTTAACGCTGCTTCCTATCTACACATGCCGGACGTTACTCTCCCCCACCTGAGACTATGTCCACACTTCTTCACTGCGATTAGCTCACACCTATAAATGTGAATTATCTGACCATAGATGACTCAGTGGGAGAGAGAGAGAGAGAGCGCGGCTCGCAATTTTGAAAATTGCGAATTCAAATCGTTGTTGGGATTGCCTCGGCACCATCGTTGCTCCGGGGTCGATACAATAGGTACCACTTTGTGAGAACGTTTTAAAAATGGTTGGATGTACTTTCCTCCGCCATAGGAATGTGGAATCTCCAGCACTGGCTCTTGTTTGTGGAATTCCTTGCCCCAGACCTTGAGGGACGCTCCGTCACTCCAGGTTTTTAGGACTCGTCTGAAAACCACTTTTATTCTCTCTTGCGTATCCGTCTGTGTGGGTTGTTTGCCTCTTAGTTTTAATGTTAAGGGTTGTTTTTTTGTTTACTGGCAGCCTGTTGTGAAGCGCCGTGAGGCTTTGTATGAATGGCGCTGCATGTAAAACTGAGTGTTTTACTTAATACATGACAACCGTCTCTATACTAATTTGAGCTTGTGATGATTTGACTGTAATTGCGATGGACAAGCTCTCTCTCCCCTCAGCCGCTGAATGACATTCCACGTTACTATGACGCTCAAAAACCCCGTCTCATATAATAAGGGAAATCTCAGATTGTCACGCGGCACAGTATTCGCTCACTCTCGTATCGACAGATGACGACGCAGAGGCGCCAGGAACCGCAGACAAGCGGCACGATAAGCGGGCGCCAACAATTTCCCAAGCTCTGCGGGTCCTCTGTATATTGAGATGCTATCGACAGATATGCACATTCAGTGGTGGTGCAGAGTGGCGAGTTATGGTCAAACAAACCCCACGGTCGATAGGGCGGGCATCCCGGTGGATTGACAAAGGGGCTTCTTCTGATCATTATTATCTCGCAAGCGTAATCATTCTACCCAAGCACACCCACGTATAACAAACGATACAGAGATCCCCCGTATGGTCTTAAACAGACTGTTGGGGCAAGTTCTGTAAGTGAGCACCTATGAAGGCCCGGCACAGCACGCGAGGGAGTGGGTGGCCAACACCACGCCTGGCCGCCTTTGTCTCCCCAGTGCTGATGTTCACACAACGCACTGCTTAAACTATTTAAACTTTTCTTTTTTCAAAAGGCCCATTGAGCTATGTAGCTCTATATTCAGAAGCGACCTGGCCACAAATGATAGCTCAACGAAGTGGCTTATCGCGTGGACATTTATAGCAGCCAAATGCTCTGAAACGCGTGATGTTTCTACAAGTGGAGGGAAAAATCGGAGGACCCGGAGAAAGATCCACGCGCACCACGGGGAGAACTTGCAAACTCCAAATAAACAGGGGTCAGGGTCAGGATCGAACCCACAACCTCCAGTGTCCATACTTCACCGCGCTGGGCAGTGCGGGTTAGTGAAGAGGACGGGGGACGGAGGGGGGCGGTTGTTGGCAGAGTGAGATCCAGCACCCCTCAAGATATCACTCGCCACCGGTGCGAAATAAGTTCAACACACGTGCGTGCGTGCGTGCGTACACACAACGCCGTGAATCTAACTCGGCTCGCCGAGGTTCGTATCGTGCACGCAGGCCACGGAGCGATGTCCTCACCGCTCCACCCCTTCCTCAATCGCAGTGCGAGCCTGGCTCGACGTCCTGCTTCGCTTTCCAAATCCGGCGAGATCCCGATGCCTTCCGCCGTGCAGAATGCTTCGAGGGCCGAGAATTCAGATTTGGGAGACATGCGGGGATGCGGCCACTCGGACGCGGTGCGGTGTGGCCAGCGGACCTCGACAGTGGCCTTGAGCTCCTGGAGAAGGTTGCTGCCAGAACGCGTTTCATTATCGCCGGAACAGCGGAGAAACACCGTTCCGGGATATTGTGTCGGCACGTCGCATCCAGCTCGCCGCAGTTTATCTGCGCTACTTTAAAAACCTGTCCATGAAATGGACAGGCCATGTGTTTCCTAATCGTAGGAAACACATGGCGCAATAACGCAGTATAGTTGTCAACTTGTAGGTGTGTATGTTGAGCTTCTTTCGGAGGTGCGGTAAGTGTACCTTGCAGTCTAGCGGTGGTAGTAGTAGCAGTGCCTTACGCTGATAATTCCTACTTCCCGGGCCAACCTCACTCAGCCATCAGCGTTTCCGGAATAATAGCGAGTGGGAAAAAAAAAACACCATCCCTGGGTGGGGCTGTGCATGGGGAAAGCGATAGAAGGGGATGGAAAGGAGATGAAAGGGGAGTGGGGAGAGTCGGGAAGGAGCTGGAGGTGAGAGGTTCGAGGGAGGGGAGGAGAGAGAGGTGGTCGGGGGAGGGGGGGGCACAGAAGTTAGGTGGATGAAAGCACGCGTCTAGGCTGAGCTTTAAATAGCCCTTGGGAAGGAATGGTGGGGGGGGGGGGGGTGCAATGTATCGGCGCTAATAAACCCCCCAACCCACTCGCCGCGTTCTTCATAATCACTCGAGACGGGGGCCGAAAGCTTAAAAAGCAGCGCTCTCGAGAGCGAAGGGAGAGAGAGAGAGGAGAGAGATTGTGGCGAGGGGGAGCAGCCCCACCGACTTCCCAGGGCGCTTCTCGACTCGCCAACCCCATCGCCACGCGAGTCCTGCAGCTGCTACTGCTGCTGTTACTGCTGCTACTGCTGCTGCTGCTACTGCTGCTGCTACTGCTGCTTCTACTGCTGCTACTGCTGCTGCTACTGCTGCTGCTACTGCTGCCACTTGCCACCGGAGAAACTGCCGCGAAGAGGTAAGGAGACGCACTCACTCGCACACTTTTTGCGGAAAGCGCTTCTCGCGAGTTGCACCTACACAAGACCAGCATGCTACACGAGGGGTGTGTGTGTGTGTGGACAAGCACCACGCCCGACCGCCTTTGTCTCCCTCCTAGCAATGTTTGCCCCCCTCCCCCCCGCACCAGGTGCTCATTTGAGGCTGAGTCAACCCAGGACCGGTTCGGAATAATCGTCAGTGGTGCTGTTAGCGAGCACCTATGAAGGCCAGAACGGCACACGAGGGAGTGGGTGGCCAGCACCACACCCGACTGCCTTTGTCTCCCCAGTGGCGATGTTTTTACGCACCAGGTACTCATTTGAAGCTGAGTCGACCAAGCGGAGGCTCAGGACCGGTTCAGATAATCGTCACCGGTGTTGGCCGTGAGCGGGAATCGAACTCGGGTCGACGAGTTTGTAGCGCAGCGCGCTACTAAACCACCACTCTCCACATATGCACACACACACACGTGTACATACATTGTACAAGGGACCCCATTGCACAAAGACAAAGATTCCCCGTATATCCTTAACATACTTTTGTGGGTGTGGCCAGCACCACGTCCGGCCGACTCTGTCTCCCCATTACTGATGTTTGCCCCTTCGCACAAGGTTACTCATTTGAGGCTGAGTCAACCATGGGGAGGCTCAGGACCGGTTCAGATATTCTTCACTGATGTTGTTCCGTGAGCGCGTATCGAACTCGGATCGCCGTGTTTGTAGCGCAGCGCTAATCACTGCGCCACCGCTCCCCTACACACATGTATGTCGCACTCTGAACAGGGAATTCTCGATTACCGTTGCAAAATAATCGGAGGGGAATCGCTCTAACTGCGGCAAAGTGGTGGGGCCGTGGCGCAGTGGTTAGCACCGCACTGCCCTACGAATCTGGACGCCAGAGTTAAATTCCCGGCCACGGCTAACATCAGTGGCGTGTGACAATTGCGCCGAGTCTGCAGTGACCAGCAGCGCGGCGAAGTATGGTCAAACAAGGTGTTCATTGGGAAGCCTCAATCCACAGCAGTGGATTGGCCCAGGGGCTGTACACTTACCAGCTGTTCAATAAGCGACGTGATTTGTTATTCATGACTCGGAGCAGAAACCCGTGAGGTTCAAACACACGGCTCTTATCAGCGGTGCCGGCTTGGTGTCTCTGACACGGCCGTTATGAAAGTCTCCCTCGTTCGCTGCCTGGCAGCCTCCATCACCAAATGAGCCGCAACTTCGCGCAATCTCGACCGGTGTAAAACTGTAAACTAAACTGATGAAAAATAAGAATAGTTTTTACCCTTTCTGGAAATGAAACAGACGTTAAAAAGTTCAAACACCAAAGAGGTATAAATCTTGACTTAAAGCTTTCGTGACTGCAGGGATTCATTTTCTTTGGGTCTGTCGGTAAAGTCACCAAAGAGATATCTTTTGCAAAGCATCAAGAAGGCTGGCTCTGGTGTAGGCCAATCATTTTCAAAGACAGCGCATAGATTATCAGAGAATGTTTGCATGTTTTGCCATAAATAAGTGTGCTTGATGCAGAGTTGATGTCTTGCCGAACATAGATGGACTCGTCCATCTGACCAACTGGCAAATCGCTGTCCGTGGTGCTGACGTTAAGAAAAAAACGCCACTTTTTTCAAATTTTCTTGCTGTGGATTTCACACCTGATAATGATTGCTTGTGTTGCAGTCGAAACGTCGTGAGAATGTTATTGTTTTGTATTTTTATTATTTCCCTTCTACGTGACTGTACCGAAAGAAACAAGAATATCTTAACACAGATTTTTTTCCCAGAAAGATATAAATTTAACCATATTTTATTTTACCAGGTAAGGCGAACTGAGCTAAATAACTATCTTTCAGCGGCGACCTGGCCACAAATGATAGCTCAACGAAGTGGCTTATCATCACGTGGAGATGCACAGCAGCCAAATATTCTCAACCCGTTTTGTTGATTCTAAATGTGGAGGTGACAAAACGGAGGTCCCAGGAAAAAGTCCGCGCGACCACGGGGAGAGAGAGAGAGACACCACAAACTCCAAATACACAGCAGGCGTCAGAGTCGGGATCGTACACGACCTCCTGTACACCAGGCGAGGTAGTTAACATCAAGACTTGACCCCCATGTGTTAGAGGGCTGCCCAGATGTCCGTGGGGTAGCTCCCACAGCAAAGCGAGCCCGTCCCGGTTCATACCTCGGCAGCTTTGCCACGAGACTCCAAGCTCGGCCCACGTGCCCGAACCCTCCTAGCAAGCGGCGCTATCATCGTGGTCGTGGGAACGCAGCGTCAGATCAGAGGGCAGCTCCCTTGCTACAAACTGGGGTGACGTGGACAACTCACCTTAACGCTCACCGGACAACAGGAAGCCACTCAAATCACACTCACGAATGTAGAGCAGCCAAATACTCGAATCGCGTGTTGATTCTAAATGTGGAAGGGAAACACCAGGTGGACCCGGAGAACAATCCGCGGGGAGAGAGACACCGCAAACTCAAAACGTAGAGGCTTCAGGGTCGGGATTGAAGCACACGACCTCGTGTAAACCAGGCGAGGTAGTTAACATCTGGCCACCTGATGCGCTCTGTCATAATCTAAGCAGGGTTGAACCTGACAGCGCTGGTCAGTGGGCGACCACCGTGGCCAGGTTGTTGGCAGCAGAGGGCAGCGCATTCAACACCCATTGTTGTAGTGTACTGCACTGTAGTTCTAAGCGTCTCACGTCTGTGTTGTCCACCTTCACCACAACCCGCGCTAATCACCATCGTCAAATAACCCACACGGCTCGCAAGGCGTAGGGACGACCTCGTCCAGCAGTGGATTGACAAAGGCGCTGCGCATCGCACGCGTGTACATAGACACGCGTGTACATATGTACACGTGTGTATATATGTACACACGCGTGTATATGTACACGCGTGTGTATATGTATACGCGTGTATATGTACACGCGTGTATATGTACACGCGTGTATATATGTACACGGAGGCCACCTTGGTTTATGGAGGTGACCTGGGTTGCACGTCCCAGGTCGTATGTCGTCTGGGGCACTCGATCCGAAGAGTTCCAAGTCCTGTTTTTTGCCTTCTGAGTCCTTAGTCTGAACATCCTAGCGGCTGGGTTCCAGGCACCAGGTTCTGTGTTGTCTTGGGTCCTGGATTAAAGAGCCGAGGTCAGTAGCGTGACTCGCTGGGGGGCAGGGGGTGCCTTGCCCCCCCCCCCCATTCCACCCCAACTCCCTACGTGGCCAAAGCAACGGGTAGGGGCTCCCTTGACAACCACCACGAGGAATGTTTTCCACAGTGTAAAAGAACAACACACCCATTTAAAACGCGGTCTGTTTTTTTTTTATGAAAACGCTTTCATTTACGTTCCACGTTTTATTTAAATTCAATTAGCGCGGTAACGTTTGGCTTCCGCAAAATGCGCAAATCAAATATTGGGGCTCCCCTCCCACCTGTCCGAATGCCGAACCCCCTGAGCTGATAGAATGCGGTTACTGCGCCACTGGCCTGGGACCCTCGGGCTGTGAGTGTCCTGAAGCCCTCCCCTCCTCTCCAAAACGTCACCAACAACTCGGCCACCCGCGTCCACCACCTCCGCCCACCGGCCGGACCTCTGACCCCCACGGAGGCCACGCGTCTGTGCGTGTGCGTGTGTGTTTGGGGAACGGTGGTGTAGCGGTCAGCGCTACGCTGCGCTAAGAACCCGGCGACCCGGGTTCGATTCCCGCTCACGGCCATCACCGGTGATGATTATCTGAACCGGTCCTGGGCCTCCCCTAGGTCGACTCAGCCTCAAATTAGGACCCGGTGCGGTGCGTAAAAATCGCCACCGGGGAGACAAAGGCGGCCGGGCGTGGTGCTTGCCGCCCACCCCCTCGTGTATTGTTCTGGCCTTCATAGGTGCTCGCTAACAGCACTTGTCCCTACAGTCTGTTAAGACTATACGGGGGATCTTTGTATCTTTCGTCTCCCCCGCTGTGCAGGCGGAGAGCCGCTGGCTCCACGCACGACCCGCGCGATGCCTCCCACGTGCTGCCGCTGGCTCCTCCTCCTCCTGCTGCTGTGTCGGGGCGCGAACTCGGGTCCCGTGAGTCCGGGCCAGGAGGGTCCCTTCCTTCCTGCCCGGGGAACTCGGCCGCCTCCTCTCCTCGTTTGGCTACCACCACAAGCTGCGCGCCATCCAGGGCGGCGGCGGCGGCAGGCGATGGCGGTGGCGACGACGGCGGCCAGGAGAGCGACTACGGCGAGGAGGAGGAGGATGACGAGGAGGATGACGAGGAAGAGGTGAACGAGGTAGAAGACCGACAGCTGGGGCTCAGGGCGGGAGGCTCGTGGCGCTCGGCGCAGTGGAAGGGGCGGAGGACCAACGCGCACCTGCAAGGCAAGCGGGCCGGGAAGGGCGCCAAGTTCGCGCTGTCCCTGGACGTCCCCACCAACATCCTGAGCATCCTCATCGACCACGCCAAGGCGAGCGACACGCGCTCCAAGGCGGCACACAACGCCAAGCTCATGGCGCGCATCGGCCGGAGGAAATAAGCGCGACGCCGGAGAGAGAGAGAGGGGGGGGGGAGGGAGATTCTTGGTGGATGTGGAGGGAGGGAGCTCCCTGGCCTCCCGGGGCCCTGTTTTCATCGTCTTAAGGTTCTTCCTAGGACACGGTTGTCAGGTCGCTGGGTCATGGGCTGTCTTGATTACACTCATCATGGGCCTGGGTCTTCAGGTCCTCGTTCCTGGGTTCCAGGTTCCAGGTCCTGGGTTGTCTTGGCTACTCGGCCCTCAGTCGTGAGTCCTAAGGTCTCCCTCCACCCCCCCCCCCCAAAACAAAATGTCATCACCACTTCTTCCATCCATGTCCACCTTCAACCCCCTGACCTCTAGTAGTCTAATCCTACATCTACTCCAGGGGGCTGACGGGAAGGGAGCCGTTCACCCATTCATCAGAAGTGCACCGCCTCCTCCTGTCTCCCTTGTCCATTAAAGTACTCGGAGAAAGTTTTAGCAGAGTACCCCCCCCCTCTCTCCACCCCCCCCCCCCACCTCCCAAAAGAATCAGTGTGGAATGAAAACGTCGACGGATAAAGATTAGTTCATGTCCATGCGTATAGGGTCGATACATCGAGTACTACGTTGTGGGAAGTCAACTGTGGTTGTAGAATAAAATTACTCGGCCTTGCCATAAGAATGTGGAATTTCCAACACCGGCTTTGGTCTGTTCGGATGCTATGGAACCACGTTGACAGTTTTAAATTCGTGACCCCCCTCTTTCGATCTCCTGTTCTCCTCCGGGAAAAAAAATATTCACACGCCCACGGCGATTCATCGGCGAAGTTACTCGGCCATCCCGATGCCCTCTCGGGGTGTGGCGGTGCGTCATCATCCCGCACGCGTCGCCACTGGCGGCAGCAAACGTCGACCACGCGGAACGGCGCCTTCTCGAACCCCGCGTATCCTCGCGACAGACCACGAGCCACGCGCCCTCCGTCGGCCGTCGGCCCTCTTCCTTTCGAGTGCAAGCGAAGGGAAACGGGCACGCGACGCACGCCGCACGCGCCTCATAGTTGCTCAACGGCACCCGCATCCGTATAGCCCTAACAGACTGCAGGGGCAAGTGCTGTTAGCGAGCACCTATGAAGGCCGGAACGGCACACGAAAGGGTGGGTTGGCCAGGGCCACGCCCGACCGCCTTTGTCTCCCCAGTGGCGATGATTTTGCACACCGCACCAGATACTCATTTGAGGCTGAGTCGACCTAGGGGGAGACCCATGATCGGTTCAGATAATCGTCACCGGTGTTGGCCGTGAACGGGAATCGAACTTGGGTCGCTGGGTTCATAGCGCAGCGCGCTAACAGCTACGCTACCTGTTCCCCATGCAGACTAACACATTGATAATACATTACCCACACACAGATCACTGTCTTCATCTGAAGCAGCATGCTCTCACGTCACGTGTGACACACACGCGAACATAGACACATACATGCTTACACGCGTCCATCGTCATCATCATCCGAACGCAGTTCGCAATCATCAGGCGCGTGCGGCTTGTAAGCCGCCTCATTCGTCGGCGCGGTGACTTGGTAAACGTGGGACGAGCGGTGAACCTCCGGGTTGTTTGAAGGCCCAAGGGGGTTCGGATGTCGATGGCAATTCACACGTGGGAGGGCAGTTGCACGGTAAGGGATGTCTAGTCTTGATTTGAAGCTTGCGTGAATGCAGGAATCCATACTCTTTTGTTCTTTCGGAACCAAAGCGTAGGGGATGTCTACTTTACGCGAGCGTGATGCGGGCTCGGAGTGGCGTTACATGCGTCGACGTTCCGTAGCTAGAACATACTCCCGTTCCATAGTTAACGCGCGCGCAGACACACACACAAATACAAAAGAAAACGCAACGTATTCGTCTAATAGCACTGCTTGAAAAGGAAAATAGAGGGTATGTGATAGGTCGACGTTTCAGGTAATGGCCCTACTTCATAGCACATAACTGGAGAGGCATGTAGAGAGATGGGTTGGTTATGGTCATCACTTGTTTACAGCACGGCGCCAAGATGATCATTACGCATAATAAGAGTTTGTGTTGGGTTACATCGCGTAAATATAAACGCATCGATAAACCCGCCACCACCCCACACACTATCAGGAGCTAGTCCAGTAACAGGTGACCCCCTTCATCAATCAAATCAGCACTTGTGAATGCACTCGTTGGTAATAGTAGTAATGATTTTAACATCGACATAAAAAGTCCACGTTGCTGGCCACATGCTCACGTTCCGTACAGAGCGCCTTCCAACCTCTGCGTCCTAACTGCTCCGTCACCACGCAACAAAGACAAATATCCCCCGTGCAGCCTTAGCAGACTTGTAGGGGCAAGTGCTGTTAGCGAGCACCTATAAAGGCCGGCACGGTACACGAGGGGATGGGTGGCCAACACCACGCCCGGCCGCCTTTGTCTCCCTAGTGGCGATGTTTACACACCGCACCGCTTAAACTATTTAAACTTTGCTTTTTTCAAAAGGCCCATTGAGCTGTGTAGCTGTGTTTTTTCAGAAGCGACCTGGCCACAAATGATAGTTCAACGAAGTGGCTTATCACGTGGACATTCACAGCAGCCAAATTTTCTAAAACGCACGATTCTAAAAGTGGAGTAACGAAACCGGAGGACCCAGAATCGACCTCGGGGGAGGCCCAGGACCAATTCAGATAATCGTCACCGCTGTTGGCCGTGAGCGGGAATCGAACTCGGGTCTCCGGGTTCGTAGCGCAGCGATCACCGTCGCTCGTGTTACATTACTTAAAATGTAACGAAGAATGGAGACACATTTTCCCTGACAAAATATTTACGAAATTACAAACTTTACAATGAAAGTGTCTTCGGTAATCGACATTAACCGTAACATTCCTGCAGAGCAGCGATTATTATTTTAACTTACGAATTGACGGCATGGTATAGTTAAATATGACGTCATCATATTTGTAGTTTCGCTTAAATCATCGTAACTCAGAGCGTGTCAGCATGTGCGCGATGACCATTCCACATGGCAATGCTAGACTTTTCTTCTTGGTTCTTTCGGTAAAGTCACGTAGAAGGGCAATAATAAAATAATAATAATGAAACAATTAAATTATTCTCACCAGGTCAGACCTGGTCTTCACCTGAGGACGGCTGCTTGCGTTGTGGCCGAAACGTCGTGAGAATTATTTTATTATTTCCCTTCTACGTGACTTTACCGAAAGAACCAAGAAGATGAATCCCTGCAGTCACTAAATCTTGCTAGACTTTTGTTAAGTAGACTGCAGCAGCGCCTTTCATCAAAGCCATTCGGCGACCGTGGCATTCCGCCAATGGAGCCTTAGCCCACGATATCGCTCAGCAACTTCGCGTTGAGATTCTCCCAGATGCATCCAAATCGTTCGAGTAGCTTATGCGGCTTAATTGGCTCTCTTCCCCGGCTTCTTGCGGCGTCTTCGATGTCCCAAGTCGAGTCTCTCGTTTTCTCATCGCACGTTTCAGAATTCTAACTTCGCCTTTCTCCCAATTGTTATTCACGTTCTTGTGTTTGCACCACGCTGCTGATACCCACCATACATCATCGTGTTGGTATTCATCTCGTCCGTCCGTGACATGTTCGGCATCATTAGAACAAACACATTTCTACTGCTCGTCGTTTGCTCTGTCGGGTCTTTGCGTTACTCCACTCAAGCTTTCACATCCCACGTCGGAGAAGAGACCACGTGCGGTAACACCGCAGTCGCAAGACTTCTAAAGTCATCTTCATTCTCTATGTCATTCCTTCCGGCAAGAAAAAAAAACATCAAAGCACAACAATGACGGCAAAGTTCAACAGCATCGCGAATACGATCGCAAAGTTGTGGGCGATACGGACATCGCGATGTATCGTTAGCTCCTTGACATTTCATATCGTATCGTGGGAAAATATCAATGTAATAATATAATAACATCACGGTCATTCCTATAGACTGGCCGAGTTTGAGATGATGATCACAGACAGACATCCACGCGTCACGGCCTAGAGGCCGATCTTACTGTTGAAATAAATGTAACCAACATGCAGACTCGCTCATGTCCCTTGTATTATGTTGAACTTCTTTCGCACCGTACCGTAGCCAACCGTGATCGTGTCCTCTTCCCCCCCCCCCCCCGTCGCAAGCCTGTATATATATAAACATATACATTATTATACGAGATGTGTATTTTTGTTCGGAATGTAAATGTACATAGAAGAAAACAAAACATTTAAGCGTATTGTACAATTGTGCTGTTCTGGTTATGATATGAATATGACAAGAATATGCTATGTTAATTTAAACCATGCCACGATATGTCTTTGCTCATTTAGTGAAGCCAATAAACCGAGTGTTACGTTAAATGTTACGGCGCATTCTGTTATGAGACGCTAAGTGTACGCCGGGCCGGAGTCACACAGAGGTACAGTACAACACTGTCTCTTTCCGTCGTCATCATCAGCAGCAGGAGCTGCATCATCAGGTCCGGCCGCAGCACGGACTTAAAGATTCACATAATCGTATAAAGGGACTCATCTGCTTACGAACGAGTTAGGTTCCAGAGGTATGTCCAACTCTACTCCTCTCCATTCCAAACATGTTGTACGGCATGTACACTAAACACGGGGAATGGATTTAAAAGTTACGTAGGTGAAAATAAAATAAAAATAAAAGCTATTTTTATTAATATATTTTTTATAAAAATAAAAGTTATTTTTCTTTTATTTTCACCTACGTGACTTTACCGAAAGAACCAACGAGTATGGATCCTTGCAGTCATGAAAACTTCATGCAAAATCGTAAAAACCAGTGACCGTCCGATGGGTGTACACGTCCCCGCCATAGCAACGTGGAATTTCCTACAAACTGCCTTCAGGAGCGCCAATGGAGGACAGGGAGCGGCCATTCAACGCCTAATTGCAACCAACTTTTCGTGCTTTGTGTGAAGAGGTTCATGAGTCCTCAAATTGTAAATGTCGTGGGTTTTACTCTCCAACACACCGGTGTGTGCTGAAGCAGATACTAATTCTTCTCCTCCCACCCAGCTTAAAATACGCTGCCAAGCTTAGCAGTGTTCATTGGAGCGCTGTCTTTCAGACAGCTCTGTCTTCACCTGAGGACGGCTGCTTGTGTTGTGGCCGAAACGTCGGGAGAATTTTATTTTATTATGTTTTATTTTTATTATTTTATATTTCCCTTTTACGTGACTTTACCAAAGAACCAAGAATATGAATCCCTGCGGTCACAAAAGCTTTAAATCTTGTATTTTATTTTACCAGGTAAGGGCGCCACTGGCCTGTGTAGCTCTTTTCAGAAGCGACGTGGCCGCAAATGATAGCTCAACGGAGCGGCTTATCGCCACGTGGACATTTGCAGCTGCAGCAGCAGCAGGCAAATGCTCTAATCGTGCGACGTTGATTTCTAAATGTGGGGGAGGAAAACCGGAGGATCCCCCGAAAAAAGTTCGCGCGACCACGGGGCGAGAGACACCGCAAACTCCAAATACACAACAGGCGTCAGAGTCGGGATCCAACACCAGCAGTGCCGGATGAAGCTATTGTGGGGCCTGTAGCATATTTTATAAAGGGGCTCTAAATGAATAAATAAACATAAATATTAAAACACATACATTTTTTACTTGCATAGGAAAGTAATTGTATTTTTTCATTTGCTATAGAGCCAGATAATATGACAAATCGCTAACCTTAAACACCCAGTCGTTCGTAAAAGTTGAAGGCGGTATAGTACTATAGTAATAGAGCAAGTGCAGAATGACTGAACCGGAGTTGATAGTTTGAAAGCATTAAGCGCGGGGCCCTTGAAAGTGCGGGGCCCGTAACTACTACATGTGTAGCTACGACATATGTAGATACTACATGTGTAGCTACTACATGTGTAGCTACTACATGTGTAGTAATTACATGTGTAGTAGCTACACATGTACTACATGTGTATTAGCTACTACATGTGTAGCGACTACAGGTGTAGCTACTTTTGCTACTAGGATCACCCGGCACTGCGTACGAGCAGACACGAGGCACTCAGCAGAGACGACAGCACTAATCCGGGCCGCTCGTGCCGGTCACCGGCCTCTGGAGGAAGCGAACTTCTCTCATCAGGCGCAACTTTGCCTCGCGTCGCCAGCCCCGTGAACCCTCCCGCAGCACGAGGCTGGTCTCTCTGCCCGCTGGGTTCGTGTAGCACCCCCAAGGGACGCTGGGGTGGGGGAGGGTGGTAGGCTAACAACCCCCCATTGAAGTTTACCACTCCCCGTCGCGGTGCTGATGAACCGTAGCTCACAAGTGAACGGTTGCAAACCGATCACATTCAATCTCGCAAGGTGCCCGGTGTCGCACGGTCAGAATGACCCCCCCCCCCCCCATTGGAGCCTCGGGGGGTCGAACGTTTCTCAAGTACATTGGAACATGTAGCCTGCAAGGGTATGGGCCGTCTGGGAGAGGGGAGGGGGGTCCCTGGGAGGGGTCATCACCCCACACGTGACCCCCCCCGCCCCCCCACCAACCACCGGCCCTGGCACCGGACTCCAACCGACACTTTCGCAACGTCCGCGGTGGTTTGGAGGCGCTCGTCGGTTTGGAGGCGATGGGCGGACGGGGGAGGCTCGTGGCCACGGCAGCCTGTGCCTGGCTGGCCGTGACGTTCGTCCTCGTTGCTGGGGAAGGTGAGTTGCCCCCATTCTGGCGAATTGCCCGATGATGCTGGATGCAATTACCAGCGAAACGTCGTACTCAAAAATTGTAAATGTTGTGGTTTCACGCTTCAACACAGCGGTGGGCTAAAGCAGTGAACTATTTGTCTTTTGTCAACGTGACACTTTTTTACTGATTGGGCGTGTCGGGTGGTGGAGGGTTACGACACATTTATAAATAACGCGATCTAAACCCAAAAACGTTGATTATGAATAATATTCTTCGCGAAAGCCTACATGTTAAACTGACCCCAGATACATGCGGTGCGTGAGCTGTGTGTGTGGGGCGGCTTAGGGTCGACTCAGCCTCAAATGAGTACCTGGTGCGCTTGTGCCAACATCGCCACTGGGGAGACAAAGGCGGCCGGGTGTGGTGCTGACCACCCAGCCCCTCATGTGCCGTGCCGGACTTCACAGGTGCTACTCGCTAACAGCACTTGCCCCAACAGTCTGTTTAAGGCTATACGGTGGATATTTTGTCTTTTTTAGGTTATTAATCCGGCAAACTTTCCAACGTTATGCCGACGTTTGGCGTGGGTCGTTATAGTCCATTTGGGGGTCTGCGTTGGCCCAGACGTTATACTACACACGTAATCAAAGCATTGTATATACCACGTGTGATTGTGCACGATCTCGTGAAGACGTCTGCAATGTGCCCCGTGTGTTCCCCGGACTGTAAGACGTTGCAGGTCGTAATGACGCAGCAGGACGACGCCGTCACTGAACCCATCAGGTGCAGAGATCAGAGGCGGAGGAGGGGGGGGGTATTGTAATTATACAATCGATTAGTAATCATTTAATTAGTATGTGTTTCCGCTATTAAGGATTTGTAATTGTAAGACGTCTCCTTCTTCCACGCGCTTGTCCCACTCACATGGGGTCCCCTGCCCTCGCCTTCTGCCATCCTCTTGATCTCCTGCCCTCAGTCGGCCAGGGCTCTGGGTTATTTTTCGTGCTTTCAGGGTCCCTGGACCCCTCCGCTATTAATCATCAAGGGCCATTCCTGATGGTGGGCAGGTCCGGGTAAAAGCTACGATGTCCGGGAGTCAGAGACGTCCCCAGTTCATCTTCAAGTGCGAAAGGGAAGTGAGGTCCTCTTCTAGATTTGAAGCTTTCGTGACTGCAAGGATTCATATTCTTAAATTTTTTCGGTAAAGTCACGTAGGTAAAAAATAAAAAAATAATAAAAGTAAAATAAAATAAAAATCACGACGTTTCGGAGGCAACACAAGCTTGATATATCACTTGATACAGCTATCGTGCTGTAACAGTTCCACCTGAAGACGGAAGCTTGTGTTGCCTCCGAAATGTCGTGATTTTTATTTTATTTTACTTTGATACATTTTTATTTTTTTTACCTACGTGACTTTACCGAAAAAACCTAAGAATATGAGGTCCTCTTGCCCACACACTACGATTTAACATCGCCCCCCCCCCCCACGTAGTTCGTTAAGCTGTCCATGGCTGTAACGGAAATGATTTCAATCTGGTGCAGATACAATGGTGGGCTGATCGATGCCTGCTTGCTAATTATCTGATTAATTGCTGCTGCTGAGTATTTAAAGCGCAGCAGGTGCGCACAGTCGGGAGCCACGTGGTGCACACGTGACATTAGTCGTCTCTGTTAACCCGTGGCACCTGCAGGGTCTCTTCCGTGAGCTGACTGCGAGCCTTCGACACTTCACGTGGCAGCATCAGAGTGCACCTAGCCTGGCACGAGCGCCGTGGGGACGCCACGGACCACTTAGTGGCGAATGGCGGTTGATGTTGTTGTTATGTGTTAGGGTGTGTTTGTTGTGTGGCGTCTGTGTGTATGTGCGTATCTGTGTGCCAGTGTATGTTGTTGTAGGTGCTTGCTATCAGCACTTGTCGCAGCAGTCTGTTGAGCGATACGGGGATTTGTGTCTGTTGGTCTATGAGTGAGTGTGAGTGGTGTGTCTGTAGGAATATGAACGCAAGTGTCGATGCAACGCAACATGCAAATCCGTGATATTGATTCTTACGCATCATTCCACGTGTGTATGGCGGCCTCAAGAATCGATATAAATGTATGACTCGTTCCACCTCAAGTGTTAACCTATAACACTTGGGTCTGGCCTGTGAGGTGTCATTTATTGGATTTCTTACGATTTTCTCCCTGAATAAGTGTGGTCGATAAGGATAAAAGTTGCGTGCAAAATCAGTAGGCTGGATAAATGTGTATACGTACTGTACTTATTAAAAAAGTTCTAACGATAAGAAATGACTCCTTTAGCATTTGTAACGTGCACAGTATTTGTTCACTCTCATAGAGGGAGATAATGACTCGGAGAGTGAAAGAGAACGATACAGAGAGTGACAGAATGATTCAGAGTGAGAGAGAATGATTCAGGGAGCGAGGGAATGATTCGGAGTGAAAGCGAATGATTCAGAGTGAGAGAGAATGATTCAGGGAGTGAGGGAGAATGATTCAGAGTGAGAGAGAATGATTCAGAGTGAGAGAGAATGATTCAGATAGTGGGAGAATGATTCAGAGAGTCAGACAGAATGATTCAGGGAGTGAGAGAGAATGATTCAGGGAGTGAAATGGAATGATTCCGAGAGTGAGAGAGAACGATTCAGGGAGCGAGGGGATGATTCAGAGGCACGTGAAAGCGCAGCCAAGCGGGGGAAGGCAACCCAGAGCCAGCGCCCACTATTCCCCAAGCTCTGTGGTTCTATATTTGGATGTTTGGCAAACTCCGTCCACGAGTGTTTATGCATGGCGAAGGAAGACGGAGAAACCCTCGCCATGCTTGCGAGGGGGGGGGGGGGGAGGTGAATACTCAGCCTCCGTACAGATGGAAACTCATCCACTTGCTGTGCTGCCATTGTAGCCTGGAAAGCCAAACGATGGCGATGCCCACGGGGAGGCAGGGAGTGTCACGCGTTTGTGTCATCCACCAACTCTCGTTTGTCGGTGCGCGTTATGCTCTGGCCAATCGGTGCATTTAGGATGCGGCGAATACGATTTGAGTCAAAATAAGCGACAAGTCATGGACGCCGTCCAATGTGTTTATAGTCTGAATATAGTTTCAGTATAAGTGTGGAAATTATTGCAAAGTGGATCAGGATACAAATTATTAAGTAAAACATCAAATAAATCGCGACGTTTCGGGCGCAACCCAAGCGTCCGTTATCAGATGACGGACGCTTGTGTTGCGCCCGACACGTTGCGATTTTATTTTTTTCTACCTACGTGACTTTACCGAAAGAACCAAAGAGTATGGATTCCTGCAGTCACGAAAGCTTCAAATCAAGAATGATCAAGTAAGGTAAAGAAAAGCAGTTTGGTGTCTTTTTTTAACGGAGTTTGATGTTGAAGAATCAGCTCACAGTGTGCCTATAAAAGTAAATTTCAATCTGTGCATCTTGCCAGTTATGACACGTATGTACGTACGTATGTATGTTGAACTTATTTCACCCCACCGTACGGAGCCAACCGTGATTATAATCGGAGGTGCGAGGGAAGGACAACACACTAAACACAAAATGCAGTTCTAAAGAAATTAGTTTTCAATCGAGATGATTTAAAAGTGCATAGCTCCAGTGGCTTCCTAATATCGGAAAGAAGAGCGTTCCAGACGGCCGCAGAAGCGCATGCGAACGGGTGCGATGCAGTGACCGTCTTTGTTCGATGGCCAGCCATGTGGAGTTTTGGCATGGGCTCCTGACAAAATATGGATCTAAAAGTTGCGTGCGTGGGATTACACCGAAAGACAGAAATAGGAACTCAGAGATCAGGGAACAAATGCAATTTGTAGACATGTGAACTCTTGAGGTATGTCAGTGGGCTTGAACAGAATGCGTGGTAGCGGAGAAGGGATCATTGCCGGTGGGCAGGACTGGTGATGAAATGGCATCCAAAAGGAGAAAATGTGCCCAGGATGATGGCCACCTGCGGAGAAAAGGAGCCAGTGGGGTCAAATCGTGCGCAGGATCGAGATGAATTGCGGCACCTCGGCACCACGAGGGAAGGTGTTGACGCTGCATGGGGAAGAGGGCCTTCGTCCAGCAGTGGATAGATGGCAGCTTATCGATCAGCTCGTTCATCTCTCCCGGCGTTCCCGAGTGTATTTCCCCACCGCAAAGAAGACCACCTCTCTCGGGTACAGGATAGATAATGATTCGGTATGTCCGATTGAGGATGTAAAGGGCAATGTGTCTGTAGTCTGTGCACTGATCTCATCCATGGGCAACTTCTCACTGGCCCCGCGCTGGTCGCTTTAATGGGGCCTTAATGGAAAATGTGACCTTTCGACAATTCGTGGCACTTAGGAGTGTTTGTAAGTGAAAGGTCAGCCCGGATGGCGTATTTTCGTTTTCTTTTTATTTATTTTTGCACCCTACAAAGCGGCCACGTCATTGCCCCCTAATTGCGGGCAGGCTTTGGGAAATGTCCCTTTAATTGAAGTTTCAAGCTCATTTTGTTGAACCGGGTGACAACTCTAGAGGTCAGGATGAGTCTCATTTGCAAGAGTGTCCGGGGGCATTAGTCTGCTCGTAGTACGGGGCGGTGATTGCTGCGTGTATAACCACAACCGAGGAATTTGCGGTGTAATTTCTAGAAATTGCCAAATTTGGACCCTGACACGGGTACACGATGGCCTGCTCTCGTGAGCGGCGTCACGCGATCTTTAACGTCCGCTGCGAAGCGGAGAACACTCGGCATTATTGAGGTTTTTTTACGTCCGCAGGACTAAAATAATCAGTCTTGATTTGAAGCTTTCGTGACTGCAGGAATCCATACTCTTTGGTTCTTTCGGTAAAGTCACGTAGGTCGAAAAAATAATAGATCACGACGTTTCGATCGCAACCTGAAGACGGTCGCTTGTTATTGCGATCGAAACGTCGTTTTCTACCTACGTGGCTTTACCCAAAGAACCAAAGCGTATAAAGTAATGAGTGTCGGCCGCTGGGTTGGAACCCACGCACCTCCGCAGCGAGTGGAGTAACGCGCTCCCGTCACGACCCAGGTGTTTAGCTTGTTGTCCTTCCCCCGCCCCTCCGATTTGCACGGTTGGCTACGCACGGAGCGGAAGAAGTTCAACGTACGTGCATAAACAGGACACGCAGATGTAAGAAGGGACGTGGCGTAACCACGTGGCGACTTGGGCCGCCGTGCCGTTTGTACGTTCACGCATCATCCGTTCACTCGTCGATCGCATCCCGCCGGAATTGATTACAAAAAACCAAGTTACAGCTTTGTCTGTTGTTATTGTTAAACAACCCCGAGACGAGTGAGCATAGAAGTACATTACAACGATGGAGTTTTGGTTGTTACTGCACTGCTCTCTGCTGCTCACAATGTATCCCCAGAGCCGATGACAATTTTGGCGTCATCCAGCCTCCGAGATGTGATGAAAATGGACGCGTTCCAGGTGATTTGGTCATGAGCAATTGAAATATAATTTGGAGAAAAAAATACGCAAATAATGGAACCCACTTAATACCAGGAGAAAGCAAATTAATTTACACGTCATTAGTTCTGGTTTTAAGTAAATGCATTTTGGTCACAGTGAGTCAGAGTATATGTATTATGTTAATGAGTGAGTCATGTTACTTGTAATGAATTGTAAACCCGGTGACTGATGGTAGCTCCGTTAGTGGGACGAGTTGCACTACAAACCACGTGACGTGGGCTCAAGGGAAACGTCGTACACATTTCCCCACCTCAAATGAGTACCTGTGGCACCCACATCCGCTGTGGACCCGAGCCAATGGTGGGCATGGCACAGTTTTATGGAGCAGGGGACACTGTGCACTTCCCACTAAGATTAGCACGCTTGGCCACGTACGGCGCGAAAGAAGTTCAGCATACATCCAAGAAGTGCTATTGTCAACAATCTCAATTCCTGATTGTCATTCAAGTAGCTCTACCACAGCAGCGGCTGGCCGGTTTGTAGGTCAACTCAGCCTTACAACGATAGCAAAGTGCGATAGAAGTTTACGTACGACATGTTACTATTTGTATTATACCATCCGTTCTTTTTTACTTTCTGTCCAATGTGATTATTAATTTGGAACATGAGCGCACACGCGCTCCAAGTGTGTTCTGAATGCCCTGCGCAATGCCACGTTTCCTGTCCGTGTCGGATTCTGCCATACTCTGGCAAATGCGCACGTGCTATTTTCCTACGTTTAATTCTGTAAATAATTGTTTTAATGAGAGAGTCCCGAATATAGCCTGCGCATTCATTGAAGTTGATGTTACCGGACTTCATATGACCGGAGGTTGTGTGTGCCATTAATTAATGGTTTCGTCTGCCCGCGCATTAATGAACATTAGCTGCTCGCGGTACGACGACTATTCAATGGAATTTTGCGATTCGGGGTCTTGGTTTGATTCGAGCAGTCCATTCTTTTGAGGTGGCCGGGTTAGGGTTGTGCGTACGTGCGGCCGAACTTCTTTCGCGCCGTACGTAGCCAACCAGATGTCAAGATCGCCGAGCTCGCACCGCTGAGATTCCTTTGTTCAAATCCGGGCAGCCGCCCTGTGCGGTGAGAATTCACGGTCGCAGCTTAGCAGCCTATCAATGACTGCGACGAAAGTCAACTCAGTTTGGGCGAGATTCCAACCCTGTCCGGCATTGAGCAGCTTGCGCCCTCTGTCCAGCACGCGTGTCCAGGACGCGTCGTCTTCAGGGCAAGATGAGCTCGCGGCCCGAAGCGGCTTTTAGCATCAACTTGGGATTTCATGGGGAGGAGGAGGGGGGGGAACACGTGCGGAGAGATAATCCTGCTCGTTTGTCGCACGGGGGTTGGAGAGCCGCCCGGCGATCGCTGCGTCCGGCGGAGCGGGGTGGAGGGGACGTGGGGGGAGTGGGATGGGAGGGGGTCTCGTGGCGTGGGTGGGAGCCCCGGTGTGGAGGGTCACGGGTGCGTGGTGGTGATGGCCCTCGGGGCAGGGGGGGGCGATGCAGAAATTAATTTTAGAAGGCCCCCCCTGCCCCCCCTGCCCCCCCCTGCCCCCCCCCCCCTGCCCCCATTCTGCCATCGTGTTGTTGACGAAAGTGTCGAGGTTTTGGTGTGCTAATTGTGCTCTTGCGCACTGCACTACATCGTTGAATAGTGATTGGCCTGGATGTGAACCCAGAAATGCTGCAGCGTTGTTTTAGTGGCTCTGAGATGGCTATTCTGAGCACCCAGAGAGAGAAAGAGAAAAAATCCGGCGCCCACGCGCACGATTTGAGTCCAAGATCTCTGCGGTGCAGGCTTATTTGCTCTAACACGGTCATTATCGAACCCCCACCCCGAGAAGGACACACACACAGAGAGAGAGAGACACGCGTTGACCAAGGGTGTGAGCCCGATGGCGCCTGCTCAGTGTCTCCGACCTCCCCGAGCCGCGGCCGGCCCACCACTCGAGAAGACGAATCGTGGTGCAGTCAATCGGCGCCCGCAGCGAGAAGCCGGAGGTGTCGGGTTTGCACGTGGGCGGTCGAAAATGAAAACCTGGATTTCAACCCAGGTGCTTGGCAGTTTCCGGCTCCAATGTCTAGGATTCCTCAGTTTTTTTTTCTCGACAAGGGGTTTTGGAAACATCGATAAGGCGGCAATATTAAAATCGCCCTCCCCCCCCACCCGTCATTGCACCACCAACTCATTCTGGATGAATGTGTTTTTAGTCTCTCGTGTCTCTCTGCCTCTCGTGTCTCCGTGCGCAGTGAAGGACGACATCGGTCCACACCAGGTGGTGCGTCTGGGCGAGGTGCTGCCGGACAGCGAGTGCCGCTACCTGCTGTGGGCACTGGACAAGCGCCTGGAGGGGAAGCGCCCGAGCTTGGAGGAGCCCCAGCTCGAGACGGGTACGCGACGGCGGCCAGAGCTCCAGACGATTTGGTGGTGGGGGGGGGGCGCAGTTCGTAAACGTCGCAGAGCGCCACACGTTCGCTCGGCCACCCACTCACCGACTCTCCAACTCCACCAATCCGACGACTGACGACCCAACCCACCAAAGCAACCTGCTCACTCACACATCCACTCACTCATCCGCCCCTTCACCCACCCAGTCACTTGTTCGCTCGCCTACTCATTCACTCGGTCACCCACTCACCAACATGTCAATCCAACCACTGGCTACCCAACCCACCAACTCGCCTACACTCACTGACCCACTCACACATCCACTTGCTCACTCACTCGCTCAACGCGCTAACCACTACGCTAACCGCTACCAACCCGCTCGCTCTGCCGCTCGCTCCGTCGTGCAGGTGACGAGCGGCCGTGCCCCCTGCGCCTCTTTGAGTGGTGGGAGAAGCACAAGGAGGAGGCGAGCACGGTGATGGTGTCATCGGCGCTGCGTGACGTGGGGCGGCACGACCTCTGCATAGGCACGACCTCCCCTTCCTCCCCCCTCCCTCCCCTCGCTCCACGCGGCAACCCAGGCGCCGTGAGTGGCACGAGTGGCTTCCTCGCCCCTGATTGTTTTCGTCTCCCCCCGCCCTCCCCGCCCGACGGTGCTGGCGGTGTCTCGTTAGAAGAGGAACAATCCGTCAGGTCTCTCCTGGAGCGGTGCGACCCTCCGTGTTGGGGAACAGCCCGTGGAAGGGATATCACAGAGCTGCTTCTGAGCTCCATTCCAGTGACCTCTGCCACAGACACTTGGGGGACAGCACTTACTCTCCCATCACGCTGCAGGGAGAACTGTTAATCGCATGACACTAAAACCGAGAATTGTACTTCTTAGAGCTGGAATTTATCTACATTAATGCACTCTTCCATCATTGTTACCATGGTCACCGTTCCAATGAACTTCATTCGTATCCTCCACTCATGGTGAGGGACCTGCTGATCGAGATGGACTGTTTTGTCTCATCCTGACTGTTCAACCATCATAGTGCAGATCTTGACTTAAAGCTTTTGTGACCGCAGGAATTCATATTCTTTGGGTCTTTCGGAAAAGCCACGTAGATAGAAAAATAAGAACAAATACAAATATAACGACGTTTCGATCGCAAAACACTCACTCACTCACCTTACCTCCTCACTTACACACTCACCCACCCCACCACACTGCAGGTCACAACACTTTTGCAAAGGCGGTCACCGCATCGCGCGCTTTCAGATAAGCTTCTGCAGCCGTCTGGAATGCTCTTCCATCCGATATTAGGACGCCACTGGGAGCTATCGACTTTTAAATCATCATCTACATTTAAAACTCATTTCTTTAGAACTGCTTTTTCTGTTGAGTTTGTTGTCCTTCCCCCGCACTTCCGATTCGCACGGTTGGCTACGTACGGTGCGAAAGAAGTTCAACATGCGTACACACACACTTCTCTGTCTGCTTCAACCCCTCCACTGCTCCACTTTGGAATTCCCTCCCATCGTCACTTTTCCTCAAATTCTCACAATAGCGCGTTCCACTCTTATCTATTACAACTGTAACGGTGCTGTTTGTCGCAGGCCCTCTCGGGAGTTTTGGGCCCTGTGCTAAGCGGCCTTGATGTAAACATAAAATGTCCACGTCGCATCTTTGTGGGGACGGTGACACGGCGCCGCAGATCGGCGGCGTGCGCTCGCGAGCGTTCGAATTCGTAGTGTAGCGACTGACTCAGAGACACTAAGAGTAGGAGGCACTCTATCTTGTTTTGAAGTTTTCGTGACTGCAGGAATCCATACTCTTTGGTTCTTTCGGTAAAGTCACGTAGGTAGAAAAAATTTATAATAAATTACGTTTCGATCACAACACAAGCAATCGTCGTCAGGTATAAATATACGAGGTTCAGCGGTTCTCTGGCTGCTGCGAGCTGCAGATCCCCTTCCCTGCCAGCAGGCAGCGCTGTGCTGCCACGTGACCGAGTCTATGTCACTACACGTGGAACGAGGTCCGTCCGAGGGGAGCGCCCATTTGCGCGCGCGTTTGTCTATTGTTATTGTTTTCTTTCACGAGCGCATCCCTCTCTGCCTGCACAATCGAACCCCCCAACAGTGCGGGAGCTCCCCTGATAATTGATGGGTCCCGCGTGCCAGCTTGGTTTGTTTTGTCGCACCGCCGCTTGTCGCCGTTGTTCATTCGCTGGCTGAGCAGAGCTGCTGAAGAACATTGGGCAGGACAAGGTACTGGCCTTCGACAAGGTGGTGCTTAACTACAAGCAGAACCTGCAGAAGGCCAGCATGAAGGTCGAGGACCTGGGGATCAAGGCGAAGGGGCTTCTGAGGCTGCGACGCGAGGCTGCAGGTGGCAACGTCCCCCCCACACCCCCCTCGTGGTTGTCACAGCGACGGTCGCGCATGGGAACCGTGCTCGCAGTCACGGGAGGCCATCTCGCGTCGTCATCTTCATCATCTTCGGCCGCGATCAATCCACTGCTGGGTGAAGGCTGTCCCCAAGTGGCTGCCTCCACCCCTTCACGATCATGCGATGCAACAATTCCATCCAACGCCTGCACACCAGCTGAACTCATCGCTCCATCTCCCCAATTCACGTCTTCTCGGACGCGTTTATAAACTAAAACTAAACTATTTTTTATTTTACCAGGTGAGGCCCACAGAGATATTTCGCTTTTTAGAAGCGACGTGGTCACAAATGATAGCTCAACGATGTGGCTTATCAAGTGGACATTTATAGCAGCCAAAAACTCTAAATGCACGTTGATTCTAAATGTGGAGGGGAAAAACTAGAGGACCCGGGGATAAATCCATGCGACCACGGGGAGAACATGCAAACTCCAAATATACAGCAGGCATCAGGGTCGGAATGGAACCCACGACCTCCTGTATACCAGGCGAGGTAGTTGACATATCCTAGCCACCGTGCTGATGATGAGAGAGAAACACGCAAACACCCAATATTCAACAGGCATCGTCAGGGTCGGAATGGAACCCACGACCTCCTGTACACCAGGCACGGGAGTTGACATCTCCTAGCCACCGTGCTGATGATGAGAGAGAGAAACACGCAAACTCCCAATATTCAACAGGCATCGTCAGGGTCGGAATGGAACCCACGACCTCCTGTACACCAGGCACGGGAGTTGACATCTCCTAGCCACCGCTTTTAGTCTTGACCATCGTCCAACATCCCTTCTTGTTAACGTGTCCCGCCCATCTCAATTATCCACGATAATTAGATTTCATTTCTTTTCAATGTGTATTTCTTATACATTAGTTTTCATTACCTACTCTCATAGAGGACAGGCGAACACTACACCCTAAGCAATGGCTGACGCCATCGAGTGGATTACCAAATGTTAATGTGCAGTAATAATGTTTTCTCACGTGTAACTTAAAATGCCGCACTCAGAGGCCTATGGCCAAATCAAACAGAATGTGGCAGACATTGTCAGATGATTGAAAAGCTCAGCAAACTTGAACCTGGTTAAGCTCCCGGAAGGGCGACTACCATCGTGCATAAAACACCGGTGGCTTGACATCGTTGCGTGACATCGTGGGGTGACATCGTGGGGTCATATCGTGGGGTGACATCATGGGGTGACATCGTGGGGTGACATCATGGCATGACATCGTGGGGTGACATCGTGGGGTCATATCGTGGGGTGACATCATGGGGTGACATCGTGGGGTGACATCATGGGGTGACATTGTGGGGTGACAACTACAGGGTGACACCGTGGGGTGACATCGTGGCGTAACATCGTGGGGTGACATGGCATGGCATGGCATCGTTGCGTGACATCGTGGGGTGACATTTGGCGTGACACCGTCGCGCGACATCCCCGCAGAACGCGGCGAGCTGGTGTACACGGTGAGGAGGCCGCCGCCGCGCCCTCCGCAAGACTCCTTCAGCGACAGGCTCCGTCCGCTGCTGCACGGCATGGCGTGCAGCTCGCTGGCGGCGGCGCTGGCGGCGGCGCTGGCGGCGGCGCTAGCCGGGGCGCTGGCCGGGGTGCGCGCGTGCCAGCGCAGCGGGGACTACGACGGAGGGGACAGACGCCACGGCAATTGGTGATTATGCACAAAAAGCAGTTTTAAAGAAATGAGTTTTCAATCGAGATGATTTAAAAGCGCATTTATCCAGCAGTATCCTAACATCGGAATGGAAGAGCATCTTCACTGAGACTCGTTAGACTTTGTCTCGTCTCAGTCAATCACGCATCTGTCTTCGGTGGTTGGTCGTAGTCATAACAATGCTTGATTGTTTTCACCCAATCATCGTCAAGGTTTATCACAACACATGCATACACACATGCATATACAGGGTGACTTTTTGAAGCTATTAACATACATTTGTTACCATGTTATCCATTCGTTTTCCAATAAAATGATAGTCCCATATAAGTGTTAACATTTTTTTAAGCACCCTGTATAAAACACGCTGTTGGGAAGAACATTTTGCCCGCAAATGTCCTTAACAAAGTGACCACTGCTGCCGACCCCCGGCAGGACGTGTGGACGCGAGGGGGCGGGCGACGGTGCTGCCCGGCACGAGCGTCGTCCCGGCCACCCCGAGGCCGCGGCCCCAGCGTGGGCCCCGGGCCGCGTGAAGCCGCTCGTGTGTCCCATACACACGCAGCCTGGCAGCCACCAGCACCACGTGGGGGGGCAGCCCTGCCTGGGGGCCAACTGTTGATCCCGGTTGGCCTTTCGCAGCCCCAAACCGGCTGCGCGCTCATCCACCTGTTTGTATGTACGCCCGTACGACTTTATTTCCATCCGTGTATCTGCATCCATCTGTATCCGAGTCTGGATCTCCATCTGTCTGCATCTCCTTCCATCTATCTGATCGCGTGCAGCGCCGTTCGTCTGTCCATCCATCCGTTTTGCAACTCCGCCTGTCTGTCCGTCAATCTTTCCGTTCGTCGGTGTCTGTCCGTTCCTTTTTCTACCCATTCGTCTTTTTGTTACTCTTCCTGTCCACCTTCAATTGTTGGTCTATTTGCCCACTCGCGTGTGTCCATCTGTCCCGACGGTCAATTCGGAGTCGACCACGCTGGTGAAGCGACCCGTGATTTTTGGCTTCACCGATGTATCTGGGCCAGTGCACCGGTCTGTGTTATACCACTCTGCAAATACATTGAACGGACTTACACGAGGACGCGCGCTTGCATTCGACTCGCAACAGGAAGTAAAAATTGACGAAGGACCGATTCGGGCCATAATTATTCTCACTCGGGGGTGGGTAAACTAGTCGCGCTCTGTGGGAAGTAAACTGCCCGATTGTCCTGTGGGTATGGTTGGTGGCGTTGGCCGCGAGCGGGAATCGAACTCGGGTCACGCAATGTGCGTAGCGCAACGCCCTAACCGCCACACTATTACCGCTCACTTCAACTACCACACAGTCCAGCCTGCCGAAGAAATGAGACCGTGCTGCCCCCTCCTGTCTCGCACAACAAAGTGTACGGTAATGCACAGCTCAGCAGTGGCAGTCAATTGCCAAGAGTTTATTACAAATGTCACACGTCACACATCGTCTCCGCATATGCCTCCCCCCCATACCCCGTACACAGAAAAATACACCTCTTTGGTTTTGCATAACGTGATGAACAAATACTTGCATTAAAAAAACCTTATACGATTTTCCATCCCCAGTCTGTATCGAGGAAAGCATCAGAGGCAGACCTTTTTTTCAAAGGGATCACACCATCGAGATGTTTGTTAGTTCCATGAACGAGTGTTTTTGCAAGTGGAAGGAAACCAGAATGAATACCGGAATGGAAAACCCAGCATACACACAATGAATGGGTTAACACTCAATAAGCCTCTCAATCCAACTCGAAACCCCACGCGTACAACACGTGGCCACACACGAGCTGATGGCGGTCACCCACCCAGGTAACTAACGGGGCCCCTCTGGCCTGCTCGGCTTCCCGGGGTGGTTTGGTTGTGGTTTAGAACGTTTTTTTACGACACTATGGAAGAATTCCAGTTCAGGTTTCGCACGAGCAGACACGGGCCCTCGGAATGGGCAGTCCGTGGGGCGACCGAGTGTGCAACTGCAAGGGCAGCGCAGAGAGTGGCTCACCAGCCATCACCGAGCTTAGTAAATCACGTAATTTCGTATTAAGCATTAAAAAAGTAATTTAATTCGGTTATAACGCTTGTGTTTGGTGCCGGTGTTGCGAGAGCCAATGCTGGTTACGTGAAAAGAGTTTTGCTTACGTTGACTAGCCACAAGTGGCTTTTGCAACTCTTTTCGCGTAACCGCAGATGCACATAGGTACCCCCCTACCCCGCCAAGTACAATCGCGTGCAAACTGGATGAGCAATACCCCTCGGAGGTTGTTTTTGTCCAGTTCTAACCCAAATAGGTATACAACATGTGCTCAAACATCTACGGGCATCCATAAAAGGCACCAAGTCACGATTACAGAATTGTACACGGCAGCTTGAACCAAGTCAATGAAATACCAAAAAAAATTACCTACAGCACTCGAGATATTTCGATACGGAAGGCACTTTTTATAAAACACACGTCTCCCTCCCTTAAAACGTGCCACACTTTCACCGTAGCGTTGGCAACCCGCTCCGCGTCAGAAATTCGAGAGCCCCAGGTGTTCACCATCACCTCGCGTGCAATAGTCTCGAATGCCTCTCGCGTGCGAGACGTTCAGGATCACTGAAGCTTTGCGCTTTTTCAAAAACCCTACGTCTTGTAAAGGAATATGCTGCCGACATTTCCAATTGCACGTTTTAAACCGCTCCAGAATAATAATAATTATTTAATCGTGGATGAGACCTTTATGGACACCATTTTTTATTATTCCATGCTTTATACCCACACACAGGACAGCTTCTGCCTACATGATACAGATAGCGTCACTCACGCAAATGCTCACACTTAAAAAAGGGGTCACGCTGCCTTCTGCAGCTTTCCCAAATGTGTTGTCTGTCGACTTCAACCGGGTTCCAAATCCCGGGAGCAGAGGCCAGTATTGTGGTAAAGCCCTCCACTCATAACCCCGATCGGGGTTCTTCCGAATTTGATCGGAGTGTTGATGATGATGACGAGGCCTGTTTGTCTCAGAAGACCATTCTTTCGCGCCTCACGAGGTCAGCTGTGTAAATTTGCAGCGCCTAGAAGGGCCAATTCTTGAGGGGCAATCCTTGCCACAGCCATTGAATGCAGTGGCAGTTAGAGATGTTTGTCGATTTTTTTCCATAGCTCCCTCTCAGTCTGCCACGCAGTGCGTTTTATCTGATGGACGTGCCACTCTGCATTCACGGCAGGTGCATCTCGAAAAGCAAAGTTGGTTATCTTACAGCTGCTTACCCACGGGGGTGGATCTTGAGATGTAACCACACGAGCTTGAAGCTTTGTTCATGAGAACGTAAGAAATTAAAGTGACTTTCGAGTTAAGGAGAGCTGAGAACACAAAGGCTATGTGTTGTTTGAGGTTGTACATTTCATTAAGTTGTCGTCGGGAGAGATTTGCCTGTACAAAAAGAATGTGGAATTTGTACCACTGGCTCAAGGCCCTCAGTGGAGATGAATGCCACCCTATTGGTAATTTTAGCATAAATGCAAATACAACTCAACCCCAACCAATCATTTTCACACAAAGAATACATACCCACATTAAACCTTATTACACGTGTATGAGCAGATGCTGTTGGCAAGCATCGATTAAGACTGATGGGGGGAGGGGGGCAGATGGTGTGGCCAGCACTAAACCAAACCACCTTTGTCTCACCCAGGGCTGATAGCTGACACATTGCATCAGGTACTCATTTTCAGGCCGAGTTTACTGCTGTTAGGGCCAGGATGGATTATTATGCTAACATTTGCCACTGATGTTATCCATGGCTGGTAATTAAATCCAGGATTGTAGTACAGTGCACAAACCACTGTTAAAATGCTGCCAAATGCAAAGAAAACCAAAGATCCCCCGTATAGCCTTAACAGATTATTGGGGGAAGTGCTGTTAGCGAGCACCTATGAAGGCCGGCACAGCACACTAGGGGATGGGTGGCCAGCACCATGCCCTACTGCCTTTCTCCCCAGTGCCGATGTTTACGCACCGCACCAGGTATTCATTTGAGGCCGAGTCGACCTATGGGAGGCCCACGACCGATTCAGATAATCGTCACATGGTATTGGCCGTAATCGGGAATCGCACTCTGGTCGTTGGGTTCGTAGTGCAGCATGATAACCATTATACTACCTCTCCCCACAATGCACACATACATGTACACACGTCATACACACAACCCACCGCATTTCGTAAAGTGTTTGCATATTGTTGGAAACAATTTTCACAAAGCAATGTGTCACCGCTTCCGCTATACATTCACACGTCCGTACACACACAATTGTTAGGCATGTAGCGATTCACTTAAATTAATTATAAATATTCAAATTCAAGATTCACGATCGTTAATCAATATTTTAAATGCTGTGCTGAATGTAGCGTCTCTAGTACAGCAGTTCTCAAACCGCGAGTTCACAACCCTCCAAGGGTCCGAAAGCCTTTAATGGGGGCGCAGGCTTGACTAAAACCACGTTGACTGATGGCAAGGACACGCAGGCTTTGAATATTGTGGCCTTTATAACCTGAAAGGGGGGGGGGGGGCACGTATGGGGTTGGGAGCAGTCTTGATTTGGGGGGCCACTATGCCAAAAAGGTTGAGAGCCACTTCTGTAGTGGTTTTGGGGGGGGGGGGGGGGGGGTCGCATGAACCCATTATTTACGACGTAGACAAACCAAAAACACCCGATTACGTGCGATTTGACGCATGCATTGTGGGTGAAATAAGTGCTCTTTAATTAATTAATGCATCGTTACACGCCTAATTACGTCCGCTCACGCACACACACACGCGCACACAGGCACCAGCCAGCTATGCGGGTCAGGACGAGTCGCCGAGGATCAGAACGAGTTGATGAAGGAGATGTACGCGTTGAGGAAGGCCTGCGGGTCCTCCAGCTGAGGGTAGTGGCCCACGTGAGCGCCCAGCACGTTCACGGTCGACTCCGGCAGCATGGAGCTACACGCAACACGGCCGCAGTTCGAACATGTTGCAAGGTCGCGCTTGTTACACACACACACACACAAAGTGCTCGCCACAAATCAACCACCAATACCTTGCCAATCTCGTCACGGAGCATAAACCGTCGTGTAAACTCCGGTTCATCCTCGCAGCGGCGGCTTTTGGCGAGCCATTGAACAAAGACGGTCACCTGCATCGTGCGCTTTCAGATGCATTTCTGCAGCCATCTAGAACAGTCTTCTTTCCGATATCAGGAAGCCACTGGTGCTGTTAGCGAGAACCTATGAAGGCCGGCACGGTACACGAGGGGGTGGGTGTGGCCAGCACCACGCCCAATCGCCTTCGTCTCCCCAGTGGCGATGTTTACACGCACCAGGTTCTAATTTAAGGCCGAGTCGACCTAGGGGAGGCCCAGGACCGGTTCAGATAATCGGCACTGGTGTTGACCGCGAGCGGGAACCCAACTCGGGTTGCCGGGTTCATAGCGCAGCGCGCTAACCACTAAACTACCGCTCTCCAACACCAGCGTTAGTCATTAACACCACACTCAGCATCAGCACCACCACGGTCATCATTACCACCAACGTGACCATCAATCTGGGCTTCAGCCAACCGTTAATTGAAAACAGGTTTTTCAATTTTAACAAGTTGAACGTCTCAGCCCAGTCTCCAATGCTGTGGTGGAAACACCCATCACATACAATTGCAGCTCTGATAATAAAAACATCCGTTTTGCCGTCATGTGATTAAGATTCATCTGTGAGCAGGGAATGTGGGAACGTGCACCTCCTAATCTGTGGATAAATAAGGCGACTTAAAGAGATCTTGCAGAGTTTTAAGAAGTCTCCTTCCAGAGGCCGGTTATTTAACATATGGGGGGGTGATGCACTGCTCTAAAAGAGTTGTGAACCGTTTAAAACGTACATCCCGTGACAGCACAAATGAAATTGGGAAGAGCAAAACAGAGAACAGGGATACATATTTAAAAGCACTTTACATCACATATCTCGACTATTCCATAACCATAAGGGTAATCTAGTCTCGTGCACCACAAGTGACAACTATTCTGATGTGGAACAATGCGTTCCACAGCACCAACCTGCAAATGGGTTTAGTTTGTCGGCAGAGGGCAAAGTTACGCTGTAGTTTTTCAATACGGAGGAATCTGAGGATGATAATGCAAGTAAGTGAGCATGAGGAAGGTGGATTGCTCCGTCAATGCCATACTCACCGATAGTGGTTGACGAATTCTGGGTGTGGATTCACAGGGTCTGCTGGTCCATAAATAAAGTGCACTGGATGAGAGGGCACAGAAAACAGTAAAAATTACAATTAATTTATAATTAATAACGATTTAGATTTTGTACCACGCAGTTTTTGTTCGCTCTGAGAGAAATCGTGATTCAGCGGCACGGGAAACTAGACAAGCGGGGAGGGCAGCCAGAACCGGCGGTCAACATTTCCGAGCTCTGCCATCCAAAATTGGGATGTTTTACCAACTCCAGGAATGAGGGTTTATACATGTGGGAGGAGAAAACCGGAGGACCTGGGAGAAAACTCGCGCGTGGGAGGGGGCTAACACTCCCCCATACAAATATACAGATGATAATCCATTTTCTGTACTGTATGTATGTATAACTGTACGCACACTCGCACATACAGAACCTTGTATGTATGTTGATTTTCTTTTCGCACTGTATGTAGCCAAACGCGGTAATCGGAGGTGCAGTGTATTGCCATTTTACCCCGGAAAGCCAAGAGATGGTGACCTCGACGCCCATGGGGGTAAGGTAGGGAGGGGATTTCACAAATTTGCGCAACCCAACAACCACCCCTATAACAGTGCTGGATTACAGGTGGCCTGTGGTGCACACCAACAGGGGGGGGGGGGGAAGGGCAGGGTTCGGTGGAAAATCGCCAACTCACACGGCACCCTGGTGACGATGAGGGCATCAACCCAGCGTGCCCGGTTCTGCCACCGCTGCTGGATGTACTGCAACAGACTGCACACGGCACAACACAGGTCAAAGTTCACCACACACACGCCCGGCATCGCCACTTTCCAGCGGTGCCAAAATTAGGAATGCACCGGTAGGGGCAGCACGACCATATGTGGGGGGGGCGGGGGAAGCAGAGGGGTGATGCGGTCAATTCAGTTGATGACATTGTACATTCTAACAGCAGTAAAGCAGTGGCAGCAACAGCCATGGTCTATCCACTGCTGGATGAAGGCTTCCCCCCATGCCATCACCATCCCTCATGGTCCTGTGGTGCAACAATTCTTCTCTCCTGTGCATCTCGGTGTTCGGCGTTCCTCTTCTTTGGCTGCCATTCCGTCATCGGTCTCGACCACCGGCCAAGTATCCCCCTTCCAGCGATGTTTACAACCCAAACCGACTTAACCTTCTGAAGACCAACCACTTTACTTAGTTTGCTTAAGCGACAAAATAACGCGTAGTTTTTAGATTAGTTTTGGGCACCCCCGCCCCTTTAATAAATGGGTACAGATTTAACACGAATGTGGGTAGGGTGGGTACAACCTGCCGCCGCTGCTGCCTGTTACCGCTGCCTCACAACACCGATATTTGAAAGAGCCTCAATTGGGGCGGGTTACTTAAAGAGGTTAATGCCCATATCATAACGGCGAGCCGAAACCGTTGAGATCTTTGGGTTTGAATGTGGGATTTGGTTGCCAGCGATTCAAACAGGTTTTAAAGGTGAAGTTGATGGTCTCAACCCACCAGCAATGACTGCACAGAAACATATGGTCATGGATTTGAGCGTTTACTTTATTTGGTACGCCAACTTTGCTCAAATCACTACATGCCTCAGTCTCCACAGACACCATTCACCTGAAACCATTACGACTCATTGCCATGCACCACAGCCTCACCAGACATCTTCCCGACATGATGCGCCTGAGACTCGCACTCTCCAAACACTCAGTCACCCAACACCACTCGCACTCGCCAAACACTCAACTCACATTACACCAGGTCACCTAATAGGCACTCGCCATGGATCTCAATGGGGTTTCCCACCTCATTAAACAGTAAAGTAAACGGAGGATGTATCTACCGACCTGCTGACGACGAGATGCCCGTCGTTGAAGCGCAGGGCGACCCACATGTCCCAGAACTCGGGGTCGGTGGGCTGGGTGTAGGGGCTAAACACCTCCCGGAGTCTGCGGGTGAGATCACATCAATGTAAATACGCTGCCGTGCTGCCGAAACTACACTATTTGCATTTTACCAGGTAAAGCCCACCGAGCTATATAGCTCATTTTTAGAAGCGACCGAGCCAGAATTGATAGCTCAACGAAGTGGCTTATTACGTGGAAATGTTTAGTAGGCAAATGTTCTAAATCCACGTTTCTAAACGCGGAGGGGAAAAAAAAAAAAGAGAACCCTGGATAAAAATTCACACGACCAGGAAGAGAGAGACATGCAAACTCCAAATATACAGTAGGCGTTAAGGTCGGGATCAAACCCACGACCTCTTGTATACCAGGCGAGGTAGTTAAAATCTACCACCGCGGCACTCCTGCTGCCATCACAACCCTCAAATTGAAGGTGCCTAATGACAGGATTCTGCAACTGGCTGACCATGGGGCCATATGCGGCCCGCAACGGATCTTGTGAAAGTGGGCCACCGAGCTCTGGCCCGCCGAGACGTGCGGCTCGTTAAGGCGTAAAGGGATACGGATGAGTGCGATATACTTCACTCTTTTACCACCCAGGACGCTCACACCCAGTTGGAGGACTTTTTTCAGGCTGGTCCCTGCATTGGGTTTTACATTTAAGCTGTTTTTATAACAGTTAAATGGGCTTTTTTTTTGTTAAAGTGGGATAAAACCAGAGCACCCGGAGAAAACCCACGCACGCGAGGGGGCAACGCTCAATCCCCGTACAGTTGCAAACAGACGGCGATTCGTCCAATTGCGGTACCGCCTTCTCCTGGTGAAGAGGGGAAGACCACACAGCACCAGTTCACACACATCGCTCGCCACTGCTGGGAGCCGCGGCCCAGAATCGAACTCTGGATCGTCAGCTTTCAGAGGGCAGCGCGCGAACTACTGCACCGTCCTGCAGCATAGTTCAACGTCATCGGATAATAATAATAAAAAAAAACTCGCCCTTGTTTAAAGAAGATGAAGTTCATCAACCTCATCAGCACCGGCGAGAGCACGAACTCCTCGTTCAAGATCTGCAACAGAACCAAATGCGCAGATCGCAGAGCACAGATTTACCTTCGGAATCACGCGAGCGGACAAATCGCGTGCCGCACATAACAGGGTTTTTTTATGGTGACCACCAAACATGGAAAACATTGAAAATCGCACTCATAAGGTTTAAACATTCTATTCTATACTTGAACATGGCAGCAATACATTCAGGAGGTAAATGGCAATGTTGAGGTCTGCTCGCCAAGACGAGAGGGCTTCAGGGGAGAGTTGGTGAACTTTTGCTAGTCCTCCTCCGTTTAAGGAGCGCAGAATATGGGGAGGGGGGGGATTACTATATGGTCCACACAGTTTGGGTTGCATGTCCAACATTTCACTCCCGCGGTTTGTCTTTCATTATCCATTCATGAAAGAGATGTAGTGCATTGGCCTGTCGGTGTTCTGATGCGTTTGATGGTTCCAGCAGTGATTTCGATGAGCAGTGTCAGAGCCGGGAGGGTGCGATGTTTGGGTCGCGAATGGAGGCGTTCATTCTGGACGTCCACGTTGTTCCACTCTGTTTAAACATTGAGAGCGTGTCAAGCTTTATCGTCTTGTTTCCTGGCTTTGTTTCCTCGCGATGCTTATATGGCATTCACAGTTTACTCCCGCTGTCGTACTATAGTTCAGAAACTACTGGAGAGTACTGCTCCACCACATCCTCAGGATCAAGTTCTTTATGTTAGATTATATTAATTCTTATGTTTCGCTGAATCTTAATGTTTAACGAGATTCATGTTTTAAAGACAACATGAACGTTTGAGTACTCAAAAAATGATCATTAGGTGCTGGAAATGGGCTATATTTGGTTAAAATTTAAATAACAGGGGTTTTATTGACAAAAGGAACGTACCAGGGCATCTCACACCCCCGAATTCGCCTGGAATTTCCAGAGCACCCTACCGCAATTGTGTCATGGCATTAAGAAACATTCCCATCGCAAATTTTCTCAGCGAGTCATTCGATGCGCCATATGACGGGACAGACCCTGGAAGGGAACGTCACTTTACTGGAGTCCCGTCTCGAGTTCTCTCATATCCGTAATCAGACGACGCATCTCTTACGCGATGGATAGACAATTTGTAACTCGTCAAACTAAACATCTTCAGTCCTCGGTGACTGCGGCAAGCAGTGCACCACCCTGTGCTTGGGGAACAAAGCCTGGAATATGATGTCCCAGAGCTACGTTTGAAGTTTCTGCAATAGGCTTCTTTATTTTATATGTTCCGTATAGAGTGTTTCTCTCACATCAATCAAATAAAGCTCTTCCATACGCTGAAGAAAGAAAGAAAAACACACAAATGTATTGTAAATGTCAATCTGCTTTAAGAGACTCCCTGAACCGATTTTCCCTTCTCTCCTTTTCCTTTGCTCGGTCCGTCCCATCTCCTCCTGTTCTTCCCATGTAGTTCTGCACTCTGGGCCATATTTGACGTTTTTGGGGCGAATTTTTTTTTACTATGTTGATGTAGAATCATCCACAGCAGCTTAGCTCACTCCAATAGGCTTGTGACCCCTACACGACACGGCGTGCCAGTATTAGTGTTACGACTTCTCGCGAGACTCGGTGGCGAGCGTGTGCGACATACCTCCTGCGATAGCCGGGGGTGATTTGTTTCCGGAAATAGGCCTGCAATGTGAACAAAGGGCAAAAAAAGTATTAAACTGGTACTCTTTGGTTCTTTCGGTAAAATCACGTAGGTGAAAATAAAAATAACTAAATTAAATCACGACGTTTCGGAGGCAACACAAGCTTCCGTCATCAGGTGGGACAACCACAGAATGACTGTAGTACTCACTACAGTAATTATAATTCTGTTTTCTTTTGCTGTGGGTTGTCCCTCCTGATGACAGAAGCTTGCGCTGCCTCCGAAACGTCGCGATTTAATTTAGTTATTTTTATTTTCATCTACGCGACTTTACCGAAAGAACCAAAGAGTAAGGATCCTTGCAGTCACGAAAACTTCAAATCTAGAATGTAAAACTGTTGAGTATTTTGTCATTTGTGCTTGTGCACCCCACTGATCAATGCAGCTACATCACCAAATAACTTGGTTGATAGAGATACGGTCACATTTTAGGCACTATATCATACAATTTAGGCACTATCATGAAAACAAAGATTGTATTTGACGAATTTAAGTAGCCGATTACGTTGGTATTACTTTAGTGTTTATTCTTATTGTTTATATCAGATCATCTGGAAGTTAGCTTATTCAATTTTCAAAATATCACGTACATGTGCAAAGATCGGAGCGATATAAATACTGTATTAAGAAAAAAAGGTTGCAAATGTAACAGAAAGCATTAAATCGACATTCAGGTTTAGCAGAATTATTGGCGATGCCCAAAACATCGTCTACGATACGTTATTGACGAACGTGTTGAGGTAGAAGGGGAAGACGCAACTCAATCAACCAAATGATCTTTTCCCGTACGTACACCGATACGCACTGAGGCTGTGTGCCATGGGATGTTCGACACGAGACTGAAGCGGTGTTAATGAGACAAAGACTTTCAAGTGACTTTCAGACACTCCACTGTAATGCTCTCTTGACAATGCAGTGTTACCACTGTACCTTTCTGTACACCGACAGTGAACAAATCAGCTAGCAATTCACATCTGGGGTAATTATTCCATAGGTTCCACAAGTTACCACTGTGGCGAATGTAGCACCTCTAGTGGCTTCAGGAATTATGCGAAGCAATTCAGAATCTGAATCTTTATTTATCCTGGAGGAATACGATGAGGCTATAAAGCGAAAGAACCAAGAATATGAATCCCTGCAGTCACGAAAGCTTCAAATCGAAATTTAGGCTATAAAGCTCTTTTTCAATACGTCCAGTGACATTAAAATCGATCACCATCATCAACCATGGTCTAGCCACCACTCAAGCTGTCACCCCATCTCTCACGGTCTTGCGATGCACCTACGCTGGACATAAGGTGTCCTCATCACTCCATCTCCATCCTCTCGGCCGCAGTGCCTCTAACCGCCACGCCATCGTTAGTCTCGACCCCCGGCTATCATTCCTGCTGGTGATGTGTCCGGCTGAAAGTTTATTTTCCCTACAATCAATAAGGTCTCTAATTTATGTCTGTTCCCTGATCCACGTGATCCTCTCTCGGTGTTTCAGTGTAATTCCAAGACTGCATCCCCCCCCCCTCCATGCTTCAGGTCAAAGTCAGAACCAAGGTCAGAGTCAATGTGACCTTATGTTCAAACAAGTGTAGAGAAGTTACCGACGGACGTACTCGGAGACGGAGGTAAGTTAGGGGCTTCCGCCAGGATTTATTACTCTTGGTCAAAACTACACAGGGTACACAACTCCCAGGGGCTAGGGGTCCTACTCTGAGTCTGGGTCCCTGCCGGCTAGCTCCGGTCTCTCTCTCGTGTCGGATCGTGGAGTCTGCCGACTCCACCGACCGGAGAGAGAAGCACCTCTTCGGCTACCACCGGCTTCTCCCCAGACTCCCTATTTGCTCCCTCTCACTATCCCTGGTTCCCTCTTCACCCTGTTTACTATCCCCGTTCCTATAGTGACCCCGCTTACGTTACGGGGTCTCCCTTATATACCCTCGGAGGGGTGATGTCACGTGCACTGCCCAGCGCGTGCGACCCCACGTCCCGTGAGGTCACCGCACCGGACAGCGCACACGACGCCACCACTCTCCACTACTCCTCTACACAAGTATGGGGCGGTTCAGAGCCAGCAGAAATTTCACATTCAGGCCAGTGACAAGCATGCATCTCTTCCCTGCTACTTTGTGTACTCGAAATGCTATTTAATTTGTGAGTGTCGATGTTACCGTATTGTGTAATGGCTAGCAATATAAGAGGATTGAAAACGTGGTAGTGAAGGCACTTCGGAATGCTGCTTTTGAATTTCAGAAAAAAGCTATGGTAGAAATGTGTACTCTCTTACCTCCGTTAGAAAAGCAGACACTTTTGAACAGTAGGTGTCCAGGAGTTCCATCTTCATGCCTTATTTAAAATGAAAGACTATAATTAAACCTCGCATGTTCTCACACAAGTCATTATAAAAAAGTTAAAGGTGCATCCTTGCAATTGCTAACACCACTGCTGGCAGATGGGCCTCCACTAGAGGGAGCCCTAGAGACTCTAGTCAAGCAGCGGTCCCCAACCCTTTTTGGCACCAGGGACCGGTTTCGTGGAAGACAAATTTTTTTTTTTCACGGGGGGGGGGGGGGGGGGGGGGGGGTGGGAGGGGGGGTCATCATTGGGTCTTTCCCCCTTTTCAAAGAAGCACTCCAGCAACGTTTGTTTTTTCTGATTTTGGCTAGGGTCAAGCTTGTGGGCTTACCAAAACTGTGACCGAGACAAGCGCGCGGTGCGGAAAATAGGCGCGGATGGAAGTGGCAAATAAAATAATGTGCAGGCCACACGTGGACTAAAATAAGTGTCAGATTCTGACTTCGCATAAGGAGCGCCCAACCTAGATCCCTCGCATACGCAGTTTACAGTATGGTTCACGCTCCGTTGAGAATCTAATGCCGCCACTGATCTGACAGGAGGCGGAGCTCAGATGGTAATGCGAGCGATGGGGAGCGGCTGTCAATACAGATGATGAAGCTTCGCTCGCTCACCGCTCACCTCCTGCTGTGCGGCCCAGTTCCTAACAGGGGGTTGTGGACCCCTGCTCGAGTGTACTTTGCCTACTCGCCAACACTGCCAGGCCGCTTCCAAGAGGTAAAAGTAACCACAAGCGACCTGCCAATTGACGAACTGTGGTGTGCTCATTTATACAGCTCTGTGGACAGAGGCAGGAAGACTTGTGACCCTTGCACCACTGTTGACTTCATGGACGCATACCATCTACGTGTTAAAAGTTACTTTTAAATTGCCTTTAATTTCCCCAAGAAAGCATGCTGGGAGTGTTTAGACAGTTCTCATGATGTTATACATCGGGAAGTTTGAACGTTTAATATTTTAGGTACAATACGAAGACTGGCGTGCAGGTGTGAAACACTAAATAAACAATAAAAAATGCTGATGAGGATAAAAGCATTGATTAAAACAGAACTGGCTAATTTGCAGAATGCTCCTAATAAGTATTGAGACTCAGCAAGGCTTTCTTGGATAAATAAAAATGACAATTGATATTAACAAATACCCCAAAGCCACAATAGCAGTCACAGAGAAAAGTGTTTTTGTGTGAATGTAACATACACTGTGCACAACCCCGAGAGCAAACGACGTGAAACAGGCTTGGGGTAAATGATCCAGAGGGAGCTAAAGCGAGGGTTTACTGCTCACCGGTGACCACAAAGTAAACGTGTACTCGTCGGGCAGTGAAGGGATGTGGTGAAACAAACAGCGGAGATTTCGATAAGCCAAGAAAAGTTATATTTGTAAAGGAAGGATTGCAAATAGTGAGGAGATGTTTTAGTCATTGAGACGACGTTGTGGCAGGAGGGAAACGCTGGAGGTGCATGTGAGGGGAGTTGCAGCCGGTGAGAGGTTATTGCCACCAGCAAGCGGAGGTTGTGGGCTTGAGAGGGGAGGATTGCAGGTGGTCAGAGGTCATGTTTAGTAAGAATTCGATAGTGGCTGCACGCGAGGGGGGTGGTGCAGCCGGTGAGAAAACGTTGCAGCCAGTAAAGGAAAGTGGTGTTCAGCACGGGGACATTGCATGCCTACGAAGAGCAACGGAATGCCAGCGAAGGGCAGAGAATCGGCTGACGAGTCAGAATCCGAATATTTATTCATACTAGAGGAATCCGATGAGCAATAAAGTTCTTTTTCACAGATGTCCAGTAGGGGTGGGTCAGAAAGTTACAAACAATAAAAAAAACAATAGGAATGCAAAGTATGGGAAAGGTAAGCTAATCACCGAATCTTTTCATTTTACCAGGTAAAACCCACCGAGCTACTAGCATCGTTTTCAGAAGCGACCTGGCCACAAATGACAGCTCAATAGAGTGGCTTATCGCGTGGACATTTACAACGGCCAAATAATCGACATAATCTGAACGCGTGCGTTTCGGTCAGCACCTCGCCAGCAGCTCCTGTGCCACGGTGATGCCGTAGTCGTGCGCCAGGACGTGCAGGCGGCGGTTGGCGAGGCCCAGCATCACCGCGAGGCCCTGCACAATGTCGGCCTGCTCCTCCAGCGTGTAAGCATGCGGGCGCTGCAAGGGTGAGAGTGTGGCGCGAGAGAGAGATGCGTCGCGGGGAGAGCGCGGGAATTAGGGTAGGCTCACGTCACACTCGTGACTGTGGTCGTGAGGACCCTACGGCTTTGCGAGCTTGTAGGCTTTATATCAAAAATTGGAACGATTTCGTCGATTAAGAGGATTAATGCTCTGTCAATGTCCGTCCATGTTTGTGATCCATGTGTTCATAGCAGGTAATTATGTGACATACCGGCTTGTCGCTGAAACCAAATCCCAGGAAGTCCAGAGCGATCACACGGCTGAATCGCTGCGTCAGCGGTTCCCATATCTGACGAAGGTGTGGGGAGACACAAGGCACCGAATTGGTCAATGGACTGCTTTCCCTTAACGTCCGCGTGGTCTTTCCTACAAACAACCCCGGTGACCAATTTTACCAACGTAAAAAACAGTGTACATGTAAATCACTTTGTCAATCTACTGATGGACTCTGGGCTTCCTACACTGTGTGGGAAGTGGGGGTTATTTGACCAAGATGAGCAGTGCAGGTCGATAAAGGTGGAGAGTATAGAAGAGGGAGCATATACACAATGCAACAATTCATTTTGCTGCATTGTCCTCTGCTGTCCACGTTCACAGTCAATTGTAGGATGTCGGTGTGTGTCAACATGCACAGGAGCAAAGTTAATTTAGAAGACTCGTATACGACGTGCATGAATATTCCACGACGACTGGATGTGATAAAGTTTCTATTTCATTATCATGACTGATAGAACACCATTAAGTACCATCAGGTGCACAAGAAAGCATCACATTAAATTTCCTTCTGAACTTAATGTGGCTAAATCTCAGTTCTGAGAATGTAAAATATTGGTTTGACTGTTATATCCACCTGCAGAGCAGGTAGAATATTCTGCTCCCTAACTTGTGGAACAGAGGTTACTTAAAGCAATATCAGAGGTAGCTCTGTGAAATCCACTTCTGCGAGCCGTTCCCGAACACGAATTGTGGCACCGTTCTGCGAGAGACCCGAATTGATACTTCGCATAAAAAATGGTTTTACCCTTTCTGGCAATAAAACTGGTGTTAAATCCGTGAACGTGGCGTTCACCGTCAAAATAAGACTTTTCTGTTCACATGAATACACACAGGCACACTTGAACACACACATGCATGAACCCATGTACACATGAACACAAACACACAGGTACACATACACACAATCTTTTTTTCAAGGAATCCTGTCTGCATTAACCACATGTACTTGTGGTGAACATGCAAACAAGAAACATGCTCCGATAATAGATGCATCGTCTTAGAAACCGATTGGTCCACACTAGAGACAGAAAGAAAACGGTTTGGTGCTTTTGACATTTTAACACCTGTTTTATTGCCAGAAAGTGTAAAACCTATTCTTATATTTATAAACTGGCAAGAAAGTTTCCATAATGGAAACTTCATCTCGTGACATTATGCTTATAGCACGATCGAGATAAAATTGGGGGAAAAGATAACAATAAATGTAAAAGTTATGTAGGGTGTGGCAGTTCATGCTTTTGTCAAACTCACTCATGAGAAAAACTCGGTACACAAAATGGGCTCATGAACCTACGTATGCAGATCTTTTGAGTATTATTGCCTTTGTGTAGATGGCTCTCTCCAGGTATTCCAGTTTCCTCCCATATGCACTCTTGAAAATAATGGACAAATTTCCCAAGGCAGGACCCCTCTTTAGAAAGTATTAAGACCGAGTCGTGAGGCTTTTCTGCATTACCAAACATCACCATTCATGACAGTGCTAAAATATCTCTCATTGGGCACTACATCGAATGCAGCTTGCCATAAACCCACATAGATAACTAATAGAAAGCTGCTGTGAGATTAAACCGGGCACACACATTCACCGATTTAAAAATGTGGTTCGTGTGATTAAAAAGTATATTAAAAATGGTCGAGCAGATAAGCCGAACTTGAACCAGTAAGTAAAATTAGCATAACTATTGGGTCAAGAGTAAATACTTTAAAGAATACAGTTTACTCCTTTTACATCGTTTTTCAAAAGACACATTGAAATCGGTGATGTGATACGAGAGGAGTTCTCTGGACAAACACACAAGTTCAGAATATCTGCTTATCATGTAGATGCATGGAATATGCCTTGATGCAAAAGCACCTTCCTCCAGTCGTAGCTCGAGGTGGGAAATCCGTGCAGAAGAATCACAATGTCATCCACTCCCAAGACACCCGGGTCATCTGCGCAGGCCGCAGCAACAAATGAAACAAATAATGAAAAATAGGCAGCGACTTAAAAATCTTTCTGTATCTGCACGTGATTCACACACCATCTGAATCTGGCTTGGGGCAAAACAGGAACAGGGGTGGAGTTAATTATGCATTATGATGCCAGTAATTCAAACGCGTCTCAATACATTAATCACATGTGACGTAGCCAGCATGGCTCACACCTCTAACAAAAACACAATCCGGCATCTCCCGAGTCACACTGGGCTTGGTTCAGCGAGGTGGCCCTGGCGTGGCTGGATTATAGAGGATGAAGAGGTAGTAACTGTGAGCAGAACGAGGGCTCACCTCTGTAGAAGATGCGCTGTGTGCCGTGGTGATACACGTGCCCGCCAGCACGCCACTGCAGGAGCGGCGGTGTGAGCGGCGGCGCTGGGACGCTCAGGTAGATAGCGATGAGTGGCACAGCCAGCAAGCACACATGCAGCCACCATTCGCCCAGCCTGGCACACATGAGACTCGTGAGAAGTATGGGACAGATGGATCTAGGAGCGGCAGAACTCAATCGCTAAAAATGGGTAAAAATGTGCTGGCCCCTTTGACCAAATCACCAGAAATGTGCCCGATCTCATCAGCCTGGTTAGTGCTTGGATGGGCAACAAAAGCATTAATAAATATGAAAAAATAAGAATAGGTTTTACCCATCCTGGCAATAAAACAGGTGTTAAGATGTTCAAACACCAAATAGAACATTTTGCACGGAATCAAGTCAGCACTAACCACACGTACTTGTGGTGAGAGCATGCCAACAAACACGCTCTAATAATATAAGCATTGTCTTTGAAACTGATTGGCCTACACCAGAGACAGCCTTCTTTATGACCTCGTCTCACCAGTGTGAGACCAGAGAACGCCAAAAGGCAAAAGACAATGCACCACCGGAGCATTTCATAGCTCGGGTGAGCAGCTACAAAATGGGACCTTTTTGCCAGCATCAAAGTATGATTTTTTTTATATTAAATAGGTGTTCCCGGCTGTTGTATGCCTACATTGTGTGCAGTAGAAGTCAGTATAACGAAACCCATTATTGCATTGCACTTCTATGCTACCACAACTTTGCTCTCCTCTTTCACAAGCTTGCATTTGCCGTTGTGAAGTATGGCCAATTAACTGCACATCCTGACGAAGCCCTCGGTCCAGAAAAAAATAGATTAACAAAAGGACTGTACATGGACATTCTGTATATTTTATGGCTTATAACTTAAGTCAACCTGGTAGTGAACCGTGCCAGGAGGTCGAATCAGACCGGAAACTTCTGGATTGCAAGTCCGGTGTGCCAACCATTACACCAGGGCAACTCTATTCGATTCGTGATTTGACATTTCAATGAGTGCGGCAATCCAGTAACTGGTTTTTAACCTGTTTTTCATTAGAAAAACTAGATTTAAACAATCCTAGAAGTTACATCATTGCGCTAAGGTGCCTTTGACCGAGACCTCATGTTTAATCAATCCGAAGATAAATTATATTCGCTCATTCCAGTTGGATAAGTTATGCTGAGCCAAAGTTTATTTGACCATATTTCACCACGCTGGTCAGTGCCGGTTGGTGAATACGCGTAGCATAGGCGCTGGAACATATCCGTAGAGTATAACGATTTTTGTTAGCTGCTCCGTAGTCTACAACACACTTGTTACGGCATGATGTTGTCGCCCATCCAAGCCCTATCAGGGTTTTAAAAAATCTGCTTTATTTTCCTAAACACGATCATCCATCTAGACGGGGGGGGGGGGGGGGGGGGGGTTTCTATCACTCTACGAATTACCAATGGTGGTTTTTAAAAGGTTCACTTTAACTGCAGTTTTCGTGGGCGTTATTGCTGAAAAAAACTTTATGGTTTACCCTGACAAAGATAAAGGTGAAAACAATAACCATCAATAGTGGGGGGGGGGGGGGGCGTGGAATGGAACACGGCGACTTTTGAGTCGGGCTAAAAGGTGCACTTTGTGCCCACGTGAAGTCACGAACAATGACCGCTGGTACGTACGGGTCAAGGCACTGGGGTTGAAGGTTAAACACAAAACATCCACGCAGAGACCACGGATAGGCACCGAGCAGAAACTCTCTGCATTTCACGAGACCGCGTGTAACGCCGAGGCTTTTTAAAAAAGTAATGGTTGCGGAAGGCACAGGCCACCAAACTCCAAAGCTACCAGCAACAAACAGCACTATCAACGTGGTAATAAGACGAGTTCATACGTTTCTAGACTACGAGTTAGATTGTAAGAATTTGAGAACAGCCACTGTTGAGACGAAGGGGGGGGGGGGGATTGCAAACTATAACAAAACTAAAACAATTGTTTATTTTACCAGGTAAGACCCACTGAGCGTTAATGGCTTTTGTTCAGAAGCGAGCTTCCCATCACAAACGATGGCTCAGCGAAAGTGGTCCATCACCACGTGGAAATTAATGCAGCCAAAAACTCTTTAAACGCACGTCTCTACATGCGGAGGTGGGGAAACCCACAGGGACTCCCCGGAGGAAAAACCACGCGGCCACCTGGGAGAGAGACAGACGCACAAACTTACAACAATTACAAACTTTAGTAATAGGTTTTTACCCTTTCAACTGGTACAAAAACTGACCTTTAAACAAGGCATCGTGTTTGCAATAAGCACAACACAAGCAGTCAAAATGCAAAACAAAAATAAACAACTCTGATGATATTCAAGGACAGTGCATATAATTATCAGAGTTGTTTCTTTTTGTTTGCATTTTGGACTGCTTGTGTTGTGGTTATTGCAAACATAATGTCTTGTATAAAGGTGTCAGTTTTTGTACCAGTTGAAAGGGTAAAAACCTATTACTATATTTTGCCACTGGTAAAGGAGATGTCTCATAATTACAAACTTACAACAATTACAAACTTAAAACAATTACAGCAGACGACAGGGTCGGAAACGCACCCACGACCTCGTCGCATACGAAGTGAAGTCGTGAACGTCTCGGCTACCAATGGAGCCACCCCACCCCTCATTGTGTTGGCTACACGTGTCGTAGCTACTACACGTGTCGTAGCTACTACACGTGTCGTAGCTACTACACGTGTCGTAGCTACTACACGTGTCGTAGCTACTACACGTGTCGTAGCTACTACACGTGTCGTAGCTACTACACGTGTCGTAGCTACTACACGTGTCGTAGCTACTACACGTGTCGTAGCTACTACACGTGTCGTAGCTACGGGCCCCGCAACACGTGGAGCAACACGTGGGAAGAAGGAAGCGAGGAGAGGAGAGAGAGCAGTGAGTGTTTGCGACACACGCAGCGTGGGTGAATGGAGACCAGGGGCGATTGCGTTGAGCGATTCGGGTGAAGTTGTTTCCCATTGCCACCTGCAATCGAGAGGTTCGAGCACGACACGGACGAGACGATAGGAGTCGGTCCGACGGAGAGCCCCTTCGACGCGGGTGGACAACTCAAACGAGTCAAGTTCACGACACGACAACCCGCTGTGGATCAGTAGCGATTGAAGAGTAACACGCAGGCCACCCTCCCCAACGCGTTACGTGCAATAATCACAACGATACCAGCACCGCGTGAACACGAGGGGGATGTGTGAGGTGGGGGAGGGTAGTAGCCCAGGTCCCATCGATGACGAACTTTTCGCGAAATTCGGAAGCGTTCACTCACAGACGCATGGCCGCGCACAGCTGACATCAAGCGCAAGGGTCCTCCCCCTCCTCCTCCTTCTTCTTCCTCTTCTTCACGGACGCTTCGGCAGCGACTCTGTAGGTTTCTTTTAGGGGATAGGGGGTGGGGGAGTGTCGAATGTACACACACGCAGCGATGTGGCGAACGTACGCGGCCGCTATTTAAACAAACAACAAACCAAAACGAGTGGTTGCTGTTCCCTAAAGGTAGAGCGAGAAAGAGAGCTAAGTGTGGATTAGTACGGGCACGCTACACGCCGCAGTCGTCCTCGTCGTTGTTGTTGTTGCTGCTGCTGCTACGCCTACTGCTGCTGCTGTTGCTGCTGTGGCTGCTGTTGCTGCTGCTGTGGCTGCTGCTGTTGCTGTTGCTGCTGCTGCTGCTGTTGCCCCGTTCCTGCTTCCGATGTGAGGGGGCAGCCGCGTCACGCGCTATTTATACTGCTGCGCCCGCGGCGCGGGTTCCCGTGCAGGCGAAGTTTTAACTCCCACGCGATACCCGCGCTCGCCGGCGTCACTGCCGGGTGATCCCGGTAGCAAAAGCAGCTGCTGCACGTGCAGTAGTAGTAGTAGCAGCTACTACATGTGTAGTTGCTACCAGAGGTGGGACAAAGTCATTGTTATGCAAGTCCAAGTCGAGTCTCAAGTCATCAAATTCATGACTCGAGTCTGACTCGAGTCCAAGTCACATGACTCGAGTCCACACCTCAGAGGTGGGACAAAGTCATTGTTATGCAAGTCCAAGTCGAGTCTCAAGTCATCAAATTCATGACTCGAGTCTGACTCGAGTCCAAGTCACATGACTCGAGTCCACACCTCTGGTTGCTACTGCTACACAATGTAGCAGTAGCTGCTACATTGTGTAGCTACTACACGTGTAGTAGCTACTACACGTGTAGTAGCTGCTGCACGTGTAGTAGCTACAGCACGTGTAGTAGTAGTAGTAGCTACTACACGTGTAGTAGTAGTAGCTGCTGCACGTGTAGTAGCTGCTGCACGTGTAGTAGCTGCTGCACGTGTAGTAGCTGCTGCACGTGTAGTAGTAGCTACTACACGTGTAGTAGTAGCTACTACACGTGTAGTAGCTGCTGCACGTGTAGTAGCTGCTACACGTGTAGTAGCTACAGCACGTGTAGTAGTAGTAGTAGCTGCTACACGTGCAGTAGCTGCTGCACGTGTAGCAGCTGCTGCACGTGTAGTAGCTGCTGCACGTGTAGTAGCTACTACACGTGTAGCTGCTACACAAGCCGGACGTGAGTAGGTTAAACGTTGAGTTTTATAAGGGCACCACGGGGTGAGCAGCCCCTCCCCACCCAGCCCCACCCCTCCCACCCTCCCCACCCAGCCCCTCCCTCTCCACCCAGCCCCTCCCCACCCTCCTCTCCCCACCCAGCCCCACCCTCCCCACCCAGCCCCTCCCCACCCTCCCCACCCGGCCCCTCCCCACCCTCCCCTCTTCACCCAGCCCCAGCCCTCCCATTTTTGGATGCACGACGGACGGACACAATAATCCCCTGTGGGCTGGTGTAACCAGGAGGTTCCTACCAGTATAACGCACTTAGCTATCTTAATCCTGGAAGCCACACTGTGAGTCGTCGGACTATTTTGTGTTTTATTTTCAAGAGGATCCTACCGTTGGGGGTTGTTGTTGTTGTTGTTGTTTTTTTACTACAGATGTGTTCAGCCAATAATATAATGACGAGCGGCTGCGGTGTTCACACACAACCAGAGCAGAGCGTGACAAGCGAACGTCATTGACGACGCAACGCGCCATCCCACAGATACGAAGGAGACGAAGCAGCGGCGATGCACGTGTGTAGAGACAGCACTAGCGGTCGCAGGGGGTAACGACAGGGGAATCAGCATGGTAAGAGACTAGGGGCCACAGGGGGTAAGAGGCCGTCCATAAATGACGTCACGCGATTTTGGACGATTTTTGACCCCCCCCCCCTTCGTCACATGGCGTCACAAAAAGTCAGACCCCCCCCCACTCAAATATGACGTCACAAAGCTTTGCCCCCCCCCAAATAAACATGCTTCAAATCGCTTTAAACTATTGTCATTGTAGTGCGTATTTAATGTGGCGCTGCACTCTGATGTTGTAAGAGAAAACATTTATTGAAAACTTCAATTTAATTAAGTAGAACGTGTTGTCTATATTTATTTAAAGTTTCGCATTTTGATGTGACGTCACATTTCTCAACCTCCCCCCCCCTCGTCACACATCGTCACAAATGTCTGACCCCCCCCCCCCAGGTGCATGACAGTACTGGTGGGGGGGGGGGGCAGCACTTGTGGGGGGGAGGGGGCTGTACTGGTGGGGGGGGGGGCAGCACTTGTGGGGGGGAGGGGGCTGTACTGGTGGGGGGGAGGGGGCAGCACTTGTGGGGGGGAGGGGGCAGTACTGGTGGGGGGGAGGGGGCAGTACTGGTGGGGGGGGGGCAGCACTTGTGGGGGGGAGGGGGCAGTACTTCAAGTTCAAGTGCATGTATTAGGTATATAGCCCTGTGAGCCATTCGGCTCTTGAATCGGGTGCAACCGCAACAAACAAAAAACAAAAACATGAACAAAAACATCTTAAAGTGAATATGTGACTAAGTGCAAACAGAAATCCAAGAAAAGACAGCAAAATATTGCAGAAAAAACACCGTACACCAACATTGTGGGGGGCAACTCTGGTGGGGGTGAGGGGGCAGTCTTAGTGGGGGGGAGCACTTGTGGGGGGGAGGGGGCAGTACTGGTGGGGGGGGGCAGCACTGGTGGGGGTGAGGGGGCAGTATTAGTGGGGGGGAGGGGGTAGTATTGGTGGGGGGGGGCAGCACTTGTGGGGGGGGGGGCAACGCTGGTGGGGGTGAGGGGGCAGTATTAGTGGGGGGGAGGGGGTAGTATTGGTGGGGGGGCAGCACTGGTGGGGGTGAGGGGGCAGTATTAGTGGGGGTGAGGGGGCAGTATTAGTGGGGGGGAGGGGGTAGTATTGGTGGGGGGGGCAGCACTTGTGGGGGGGGGGCAACGCTGGTGGGGGTGAGGGGGCAGTATTAGTGGGGGGGAGGGGGTAGTATTGGTGGGGGGGCAGCACTGGTGGGGGTGAGGGGGCAGTATTAGTGGGGGGGAGGGGGCAGTATTAGTGGGGGGGGGGCAGCACTGGCGGGCCTCTTGGCGCCGTGCCGTTGCTATGCGGAAGCGTGGTCACGCCCCCAGTCGGCATGCCTCGCAACTCGCAACCAATCAGCGGCGCTCTCACTGCGAGGTGCGCGGCGCCTAGCAACGAGCGGCTCGGCCCGCTCCTTCTCGACACCGTAGTGCGCATAGGCACGGGGCGTCAGTGCGAGCGCTCGCGATTGGCTGCACCGCCGAAGGCGTTCCGATGTTGACCAATGGCGCGCGCGCTGCGTTCGAGGGCGGAGTCGAGTCTTGACCAATGGCGTGCGAGGATCGGTTGGGCTGGGGCTTATCCGCGCTGTGGTTTTTGAAGCCCGTCCAGGGTCCGCACGATGTCGCGAGTCGGCTCCATGCGGGCGCTCGGCAACCCGAACGTGAGTTGAGTTTGTTTGGGTTTCTCTACTTATTCTTCCCCTTCCTTTCACGTGCAAGAGTTACAACGATTGGGCACATCTCCTGTCGTTTCAGATCCTCAACAAGCGAGTGCCGCAGAACCCCAAGTATAAGAATGTCAAGTCTAAGCTGGACACGGGTAAGAGCGCCAGAGCCGTTGGTTGTAATCGTCAAATAACGCGATAAAACCGCGTTGAACTCGTAATTATTCCACCCTCGCCTTCTTACTTATGGCAGAACTATGTTCACGGGCTAAATTGTTAATGTGCGATGCCTGCTTAGCCATGGCGAGAGAGGGCTTGGTGTAGTTTTCGAGTGCTGGGCCGTTGAAATGAGGTGGTTTATTGTGTGGTCAATTGCGCCTAAAAATTATATATTTTTTATAATTGGTGGTCGTGAAAAAAAATCGTATCTATGCAATCGATAAGAGTTTGTAGAAGCCCACGCCGGATCAATTTAAACACGTGACAGTTACACCGTTTTTTTATTTTTATGAAGTTATTTCTCCCTTAAGACTAATTGCGCAAATGATAGTTGTTACATGTTACAATTTAAACACGTGACAGTTACACCGTTTTTTTTATTTTTATAAAATTATGATGATTGTTACATGTTACACGAATCAATGCTCTCTTTGATATGCGTAGGGTATTCTGTCTGGGTTATAAGACCAACTTCTAGCCCTTATATTTTAAAAACAAAAGTCTGTGGACGAGTCTTATACACCTTTAAGTGTGTATGTGTGGCAGTCATATATCTCCTTCAAGTAATAATAACACCTGGGTCTGTGAGAGCCTTCCACACTTCACGTTGTGGCCTCAAAGGTGCACCTAGCCTGGCACAAGAGCTGAGGTGACGCCTTCGTGGCGAATGGCGGTTGTTGTTGTGCCAATGTTTGTAAAACGTATTGACACTGGACGCAACATTTGAGGTGTTTTCTTTTAGAAGCGCAAACCTGTCAACAGGTAAATTGAGTTTTCAGGTCCAAGGCGTACAGTCGTTTCAAAAGGGGCATTTAAAATATATATTTGTTTGTGTTTCTCCCTTGTGATGGGACTGTAGGATGAACGTTGAGATTTAATAGGACACGGGGTGACCAATAAAGTCTGAATTGTCAGTAATAATGTAGGGCACTGATAATGGGTTGACAGATATGGGAAGCGTCTTACAATCTGGAGAATACGGTAAACGTTTAGAGAACACGGGCTTAATTGGAAACAATTGATTTTGCCTTCACAGACTACCTTGCAATTAACTCAATACTGTAAATGTGCTTGTACAATAATTTAATGATGTGCTTAATCCACTTAATTTCCAAAGCGTATGGTTTGCACAAATGAGCCGCTGTGGGTTTTTTTGCTAAATATCCCTCAATCATCGTTCCAAGCGGCTTCACTTTCAACCACAGTGCAGTGCTGTGCTATCGTTACACGATGTGTTTTAGGTGTTGCGTTCTATTGCTGCGATACAAACGTTCTGACAAAGTGTGCTCTTGTATTTTGAATATTAATGTTAAAATGCTCAGCATTTTGTGTATTGACATATATAGGCACAACTAAAGTAATCACGATATTAAGTGTGATACCCAACTGTGAGTCTTCACTGCCCCTTTGCTCTCAACTCTAAGGTCCATTGCCTCAAACGTTAACCGATTATATATCTTTTTGTATGCCCAGCTTCCCTATTCAGCAGCTAGGAATCATGTCGAGAGTAGTGAGTTGTGTGTTTTTGTTTGAACAGATGACCGAGTTCATTAAATGCACAGTGGTGCTTGACACTTAACTGCCTCGAGTATCCGTTAGTGGAGTGTGCGTGGAGGAGTGTGCACTGGGCACAGCTACACTATGCTACGATCAATGATAATAATGCAGTACAGTACCGTATACTCGAAATTTAAACACATTCCTGCGGAGGGAGCTGATAGGAACGTTGGGTTGCTCGGTCAATGGCCACGGTCAACGGCGGCGTGGTGTATTCCGCAAATATGCCCAACTGTGAGGGCGGGCACAAGCCGGCGTGAGTAGGTTAAACGTTGAGTTTTATAAGGGCACCACGGGGTGACCAGCCCCTCCCCACCCAGCCCCACCTCTCCCACCCCCCACCCAGCCCCACCCTCCCTCCCCACCCACCCTCCACCCAGCCCCACCCTCCCCACCCACCCTCCCCACCCAGTCTCTGTCCCTGTGGTCGCAGAGATTTTTATCTGAGTCCTCCACATTTAGAATCGACATGCATATATATTTCCACGTGATGATAAGCCACTTCGTTGAGCTGTCATTTGTGGCCAGGTCGCTTCTGAAAAAAGAGTTGTATAGCTCAGTGGGCCTTACCTTGTGAAATTAAAAAAATGTTTGTAGTTTTTTTTGATAATTGTAATATCTGGCAGTGTACTCTTTGGTTCTTTCGGTAAAGTCACGTAGTTAGAAATAAAATAAAATTCAAACAAATCACGACGTTTCGATCTCAACACAAGCGGTCGCGATCGAAACGTCGTGATTTGTTTTAATTGTATTTTATTTTTAACTACGTGACTTTACCGAAAGAACGAAAGAGTATGGATTCCTGCAGTCACGAAAGCTTCAAATCAAAATCTGGCAGTGTAGAAAAGTTAGGCTTTGAGAAAGGTCTTGAAACAGAGCAGCAACATTCAGCATTGTGGAGCATATGGGGTAGAGAATTACAGACATGGAAGGGGAAGATGCAATCCCCCACCCCCACACCTCAAGCAAAGCTTGACTATGTTTTTATATGGCCATGGTTACTGGAAGGGAAAATAAGTATGAGGGCAAAATGAGAGAGGTGAGTGAAAATAGTTTTAATATGGTGCAATTATAAGTAACTTTTTGACAAATCTGATTAAATGCAGCACTTGGCGATGAGCTATATTCTTCTTTATACATCAGCAAACCTCCACCAAATATCGAATGGAAAGGTACATTGCCCAACACCTAAAATGGACGCAATTTTATTTCATGTCATTGCCATTATACAATATACGGTATGTTTGAGTGTAAATTATTGGGACACTAAAACCATCCATAAGTATATCTGACTTCTAAGGTTTGGTTAGTAGTGAACAGTTACATCATGTTCATGCTTATTTTGTAAACACAATCATGCTTATTCGTATCGTTTTATATTTTATTAATTTCAGGAAGCAGCCTCACCAAGTATATGGAGAAATTGGAAGATATGAGGACCAGTAAGTCATACACTATTATTCCTGATTAAATACTGCCTACAAACATGCGTTTCAGAGTTACAGAATCCACATATATGCAAAATTTTGCTTGTTATATGATGTGTTATGTATTGTAATTTATTGTATTTATTACGTGTTTGGTGATTCCTGTACCACCTACACCAACAGCAGTCCCGGCAATCTTGCTAGCTGGCCTTTCCTTCCTCACCAGCTGCCAAATCCACTCTTTTAGGCTACTGCTCGTGGTAGTGTGCTGTCACAGGTCTCGCCAAACAGAAATAGTACCTGTCTTCAAAGAGGACTAAGATGACCAACCTGGCAACCACAATGTGCAGGATCTGTTGGAACTGCTAAGCAGTTGCAGGCTATGAACTCTCCAGGAGTGGACAGGACTTAAGATCATCAGTGTCTTGTGAGATGCCAGTGGTTGCTAAGGATTAATATATATGGCTTTGAAGAAGGATGCTGAGTTGAATTTCTTAAGTGTTAATCTGGCAGCAAGTGCCATTCATGACATGATTAGAAGTTGTGAACTTGGGGAAAGACTTTATTTCTTCCACTTCCTACAAGCAATTCAACTACAGCGATGATAGTGGCACAATGGAAGCCACTGCTGATCATAGATCAATTGACCAAGAACCCATTTCAGCCGTTGGCCACCTGTGACTTATGCTACCTGACACTGAAGACACACCTGGTAATTGTGAAAACACATAGCAGCAGCCGATAACTTACAATCTTTGGGTAGGGTTAGTTACAGGCTATCTTGTGTGCTCCACCTTATTTGGAATTTTATCAAGATAGAGTAGTCCAGGGAGCTCCGCACTACACTCACTATTCTATGTGTTGGCTTTGGCGGGTGCTGCTTGTCAGTGATGGATGTGGTTGCTGCCACGCATTACTGAAATGTATGATTTAGCACACACATAGAGACAACATTTTGTGGTACTTTTCAGCATCCACAAGACTAACACCTCGCTATGCAGCACTCCATGAGTTTTTGTACGTGAGATAAATAGGGACAGAAGGGGCCAATGGATTCCTGCAGGAGGTTGGATGTCCTTTATAATAATCTGAACCGTATTTCAGAAACAATAAGATGAAAGGGTAATTGGACTCCCAAGGGTAAAAAGGAAGGATTATCTGACTAATCAAATTGTGCATGGTTGAACCTCGCCATCACTTATAAGTATAAAGGAGGGTGTGAGTTGGCCCAAAAATCGTATCTCTAATTCGTGGATACACACAGAGAACCTGCGTGTCAGCGATTCATGTGGATACTGCCAAGACTTCCAACGGTTCATATTTACTTTCGTACGAAAACTTACGTTTAGACATTGTCAGTTTTCTCCTTCAAGTTTAGGGTTTATTTATAATGTAATAGCATGGTGGGTAGTATTGTGTGTTCAATAAGCGAAGCATTTCCAAATTTATGTGATTGATAACAAACGCCTTAATTTTACGTTTGTGGTAAAGTTTTTTCTTGTGATAATGATGTATTTAAATATTCAGTGTTTGTCGTGCAGATTATCGCTACCGCCCCGGCGAGCTTTTCAAAAGAATGAAGATCACAACATTTGCACAGATTGTGAGTCAAAGTATATTTCCATTTCAGACGAAATGTGTAATTTTTATTTCATTGAAATTCAGTGTAATATATATTTTTGTGCTAAAATGTAAATGTTGACTTTTTTAATTTAAATATATTTTTTAAGTCTGCTTTTAATTATGACTTTACTTACATTTTACCTTCCATTACCAGGGTTTGAAACAATGAGGTTTGACCCACTTGATTATTCCTGCAGGTTCTGCAAGTTGCTTCGCTTGCTGAAGATCCCACATTGGAGGAGATCATGCAAATGGAAGGTGAAATATACATGTCGATAGGCGTAATATCATGCCTCGATTCTTTATTTAAATCACTTTTTAGACTCATGATTTTTGTAAGGAATTGAGCGTGTAAAAATAATTTATTTTAAACTCGTATATGTTGTATTTAATTGTATAATGTAATGCAACCACTATAGGTGCAACGTTCATAATGTTTAATATAATAACTGATTGTCGGGTTGAATCTCAAGACTAAATTGTGACAATTCATCGAATCTTGGGGGGAAGGCACATTGTTACATGCCTACATGTTGGATTTCAAATTACATGTACCAATTAAACGTAGTTAAAATTATTTCCACATGAAGCTTCATTGCTGCATAGTCTCTTACTTAGCGCCGTGTTGCAGTGCTATTTGTGGTTGTGGAATGTGATGAAGGAGGTTGACGCTGCCCGGTCTTTGTGGGGATTTGTTCTCAGGACCGTCGTGCACTCAGACAGACCGCCTCGACATGCCGAGCGCAGGCGACGCGGTTGTGGTCACTGCTCGCTCCACACTGCAGAGGTCAGCTTTTGCCTGCGCGCTCTGGGTGTGCCCACACTAGCCCACGTAGATAGAATAGAGGCTCTTGTTACGAACCAAGTGTTAGTATTTGTAGTGTTGGATTTAGTAATAGGGTCAAGAGGTCACCATGGTCAATGCTATTGATGCCACTACATCTTGACATCGTCGCCATGCTCCTGATAGACCTTGCATTTGTTGCAGATTTGAAATCTGACCGTGGCGGTCTGCTCTTAAAGTTTTCCACCATCTGGCTTTTTAGGTATTTTTCTTGCTCACTGTCCACTGGGTGCCACTGTATTATCTATTTCTGTAAATCTGCCCTCCTCCATCCTGCATATCTGCCATCCATCGCAACTTCCTTTTACTGCACCTCAGGAGTTAAATTCATATTGTAGCAATTTTGTACAAATCTTTGCAAAGGTACCCAGTAGAATGTATAGCTTCCAGAAAATACTAACACAGCCCTTCAGGCACAAACAAAGGATATGCGCACATGCATATATATATATATATATACGACACGCGGCTCCAAAAATGAACAGTGTAGAAATTCAGAGTGGTCATCGACTCAAGCTGATGGGCCCTGTGTGGTGGTGGGATTCACAGTGTGATCAGTGGGCTCGGGGAGATGGACCTGACAGGGACGAACGGCTCCGCAGAGAAGCAGCAGCCACTGTCACCGTCTCGGCAGCAGAAGCGGAGTGAGGCTTCCGAGGATCAACCCTACCCTGACTGCCCGTACCTGCTGATGGACCTGCGTGACAGAGATGCCTACGAGCAGTGTCACATCATAGGCGGTGAGCAGCGTTGTGCTTAGTGTACATCATTCGCGGGAACTTGCTGTCTATAATACGATTCATGCGTCCAATGTCCAGGCTCCTCTTTGTCCAATTGTCAGGCTCCTGTTGAAACATGTATTCATCTTGATGTCTCTGCTGGCTGTGAACTCTAGTTAGGCATTCTCTTTTGTTCTGATATCCAATGCCAAAGTTACCAGTCCTCTCATCTCATCACTTACCTAATTGTGCAATGAAGTCACCCATTATTGTGGTATAGAGTGTATTGATCTCATTTAGACAATGTACACGGAGGAGCCCAAATGTAGAAAAGGTTAAAATGAAATGTATGGGCAGTGACGTGGCCAAGCGGAGGGAATGCATTCGCCTCTTGTTGCAGAAGGTCACAGTTCAACCCAGCGGCCGCCCTGGTTGTACTGCGGGTGTTTTTAACTGCCTCACAGTGGACATGACAGTTTCCGTGATGTAATTTGCAAGTGTAGGCTATTGTGTCATGGCGTCATGCTCCGAAGTTGCCAAATTACACGGAATATTTTCCTGGGTAAATCAGTATTTTGATCATGGAAACCTCCCTTGCCAGTATCAAAATATTTGAATAGGTTTTACCCTTTCTGGCAATAAAACAGGTGTTAATATGCTAAAACAGGTGTTAAGATGTTAAAACACCAAACTGAAACCTTTTTAAAAAAAAATCATGTTTGATGTTTTAAGATCTTAACACCTGTTTTATTGCCAGAAAGGGTATAACCTATTCTTATAGTATTTTGACGATGATAATCATTCTCATGGGAAACCCCATAATGTCAAGGATGTTACTGCCAGAAGAAATTTTAACACAGGATTTGACAAAAGGTTGGGGCAATCCTACTTGCACGTAAATCATTTTAGAGAAAATAAAGTTAATGAAATATAAATAAAACCAGACCGTTAACATAAAAAGTCTAATTCGTGAAGTGGTAGCATTTAGCTTCATTATAAAAAAACAGATTTACATCTCAAGTAAAAAAATATAAACAGGATGTCACCACTATACATCATGAAATAACTAGCATTGGAATGGACAATGCACCTACATTTGGAAAAGAATTACATACAAAATTAGAACACAACAGGAAAGTCATATGATGTTATAATAATGGGAGTGTGAAAGCAAATGAATTTGAGCATGGGTAAATGACAAATAGGACTTTCATGAACCATGAGGCTTTATGGAACCTCAAATCTAGTGGTAGAATTGTATGCAGCTCTATAGTAGCAGTGCCATGTGACTGGTTCTTTGAGCCATGACAGAAGGACTGAAAGCCGTGACAACGTGTGCCTGTTGCCTTTATAGCTTGAACTCTCATGACAAATACAACAAGTTGTTAGCTGTGCTTTTCACAACGCCGTATGTGTGTGTTTAAATTGTCTTCCCTCTGCCTCCTGCCATTTCAGCGGCCAGCTACCCAAGTGCCATGCTGTCCCGGAGTTTTAATCAATACACCAAGGAGATGCTTGAATATGTATCCTTTTGTTGCTATGCAACGTCTACATTGAGCGGGCCCTTTCGTAGTGGTCATTAAAGCCCCTAAAATCTATTCACGATGTGTGCCTTGTGTGTACCTTTTTTATTTTATCGCCATTTTATAACAATCTTCTCATGTTTTACATTTTTCATTTTCTTGAATTCAAGAAACTAACAAAAATATATCGCATCATTATTGACTGCAAATTTGCAGTTAAGCGCTCAACAACACAACCGTTTACCATTGCATTGATCACGAATATATTACTGCATACCTGTCAACCCATACGGCTTACTCGTATTATACTGGAAAATAGAGTTTTCAGGTCCATTCGGCATACCTTAAATGCATGTCCTTCTGCGGGAGTTATTTAACCACCTTCAAATCAGAAAACATAGCCTTTAAGTGTTGTGTGCCTTGTTAAAACGAAGTGGTAATAATAAAAACAGGCAAGTAGCGACTTGCAGTTTCCTTAAACGTTTTCTTTCCAGAAAAATGTTACGGGAAAAATCATCATTGTTTATGATGAAGATGAGAGGATTGCGACGGTGGCAGCCACGACAATGTGTGAAAGAGGTTTTGAAAACCTCTACGTTCTTTCCGGAGGTGAGGCTTCGCCACAATTCATTTTTACTCAAACGTAAAACTAAATCATGCTAAACGCTGCTTTGAGGTTATGATTTCGAACGAGTTTAGGTGTAGATTTAAACTGCTTTGTACATGAATGTTTAATCGGAATTGGTTTCGCCTAACCGGTTTATTTTTTTTTCATTTAATAGGTGTTGCTGATATCAAACAAAAAATGCAGCCAATTTTTTTTTACAATTCTCGTGTGTGGTCATGCCCCTATGCTTACCAGCATGCTATAGCAATGTCACAGTGGCATGACTGCCATTCTAGTTATCTCACGAATGTGTAAGTTGAACTAATTTTGCAACGTATGTAGCCAACCATGCTAATTGGAGGTGCGGGGGAGGGAACAGACTAAACACAAAAAGCAGTCCGAAATGTTTTTTCAGTTTAGATGTAAAATATGGATATATGTACTGGTTTTACTCTAAACATTGCCTTAAACAGGTCATGTTTTAGATGGCCTATGAATACCATATAGATGTTGAAGTATATGCTAACGTAACAGTTAATACTGGTAGGAACCTCCTGGTTATACCAGCCCACAGGGGATTATTGTGTACGTCGTTGCATGGAGGTGCTGGGTTTGGAGGGAGGGGCTGGGTGGGGAGGGAGGGGCTGGGTGGGGAGGGGCTGGGTGGGGGGGGTGGGGCTGAGTGGGGAGGGGCTGGTCACCCCGTGGTGCCCTTATAAAACTCAACGCCGGCTTGTGCCCGCCCTCACAGTCGGGCATATTTGCGGAATACACCACGCCGCCGTTGACTCTGGCCATTGACCGAGCAACCCAACGTTCCTACCAGCTCCCTCCGCAGGAATGTGTTTTTGCTGTACTGCCCCCTGCTGACAACGAAAAGCAAGCCTACTACACACTTGTATGCATGCTGGTCGCCCATCCAAGCACTATCCAAGGCTCTCGGGCATGCTTATCTTCCGAAATATTAGAAAATTGGGTGCATACCGGAGGATTTAGTCACGGACACGTCTCCCTTAGGTAACGAACCTTGGTTCCCCTTTCACTTTTCCCCTCGTCACAGGTCTAAAGGTGCTAGCACAGAAGTTTCCTACAGGCCTGACGACCGGCTCCCTTCCGCCCCAACTGCTGGCGCCACCCAACCGGAAAGCGAGACCGCCCCGCCCCTCCAATTCCTACACTTCCCCGGTGACCCCTGTCGTGCCGGACAGCCCAGTGCCTGCTGGAAACAAGCAGCGCTTTGGATACGATGACCTGGAGCGCATCCGACACTACCTGGATGACGGCTTCACCTTGTCCGACACCAGCAGTAAGTCTCTTGCGTATTTTACGTTAATTGTTAGGCTTACGATATTTTTACAGAAATAATGAGAATAAATGGAGGCTCCTGAGCCTCTACTTCAACAGTGGTAGGGACTCAACAGCACGGATAGCTGGGGGACATTGGTAGTTCTAGAGTACCAGGGGTGGGGAACGTCCGGCCCGCGGGCCGTATAAGGCCCGCAAAATTATTTAGTCTGGCCCTGCCAAGGCAACCGCGCGAAGCTGTGGGTGTCCGTTTTCGTGGCGTGTGTGCGTGCTTGCAGGCCAGTTCAGTCGCGCATCCACCTCAAGGTCCCTGGGCAGCGCCGCCTCCTCCAAGGCCCCCTCGACGGCCGGCAGTATCAGCGCACGGTCAATGATCAGCTCCGCGGGCACCGTCAAGCCGTGGAAGTGACGGCGCCTGCTCAACATGCCAGGCGGTGGACACACCGTGTCCATGTCTGTCCTATGCTGCATGTGGGCCTCCACCCCTTGCAAATCTTGGGGTTATTTGACCATACTTTTATCACGCCGGTCAGTGCCGGTTCGTGAAGGTGGGAAGCCTAATTGTGGGAGCGTTGTACGGCATAGCAGTTGATTTTGCTGCTTTGTCCTCTTCTGCCCATATTGTAGCCCCATAGCAGCGTATAACACCCGGTTCATGCGTGTTGGTCACCCAAGCACTCTTCAGGCTCTCAAGCCTGCTTAGCTTCCAAGGTCTGATGAGATTGGATGTATTCCGGGTGATTTAAGCAGAGAAAACCGCGCCCCGCCAGTATTGACGCTGCAACCCTCATCACCTGTAGTAAGAACACATACTTCATACTACACGCTTGCACGTGCAAGGCATTTACATTTTCGGCCATTCTGTGTTGAGCAAGGTCGATAACGAGCCTCAACTGCACCACGGCCTCCAGGTGGAAGGCCTGCCCAACCAATTGCCAGCTGAAAAGAAAGTATCTTGGCACTGTGACAGCGCGGATTGAGTGTTTGATAAATACAAGTACACGTTGGTCAGCGGTCATTATAAAATGCTTTTTTTACAGATCAGTATATAGTACAAGGTTTCCATTTCACTTTTTGTTCAAATAATTGTTATTTGTTCATTTCAAAATTATTTAGGGATTTGATGAAGGATACAAAGTTAATGTCCTTTCAGATTTGGTATGGCTTCAAATTTATTTGTCGTTCCAAAACAATTTGCCCTACTCGTAGCCAGGATAAAAACGTATGTCCTTTATATAGATTTTTAAATATGTGCACATCAGATGCAGTGAATAAGCTAAATATGATGCAATTCATCCAATTATAGAAACTTCTAATAAGGAAGTGCACTGTAATTAGCATGCTTAAATCACAGTGCACGACTTCAGTAGGCCTCATAAATAATTCCATTCTCAGAATTGGAAGTTTCTCAAGCTATAGGTGTGAAAATAGGGACATTTTTATTTGCATAAGATATTTTTCAGTTTTAATTTTACTCGTAGCGTTGTCAAGAGTGCCCAGGAGGCAGGCTCAAGGTTCCATGCGCTTTCTTTACAGAGGTTGCTGGAGTTGAAGCCAATTCTGGCCCATGGTGCTTTGATGTGATTTAGCAATTGTCGTGTTTGCTGTATGTTGTATGGTGAAAATGTCATTACATTCCTTGCAACGGTTGGCTGCTGAAGCTCAGTGTCGGGTCTGAATGATTTGCCTTCTTCATCACTCACATGCCAGTTTCAGTGCTTCAAGTGGTTTTGTCAAAGTGGTTTTGTAAAAGTGTTGTTGGTAAATGTTGCACACAAAAAAGCCCACAGGTACAAACAGGGTCATTGTCTCTGAATACGTGACCTAACCATGGTACACAAGTCAGCAGTGTTTTTAATGTATGTGTGTATGTTGTGGCAAATGTACCATTATTTTATTAATGGTTTTTCATTCCTCCCCCGGACACATGAAGGCTGTTTACAGAATGATCCTCTGCATTCCAATTCACACCAATTCCAAACGCACGACATGTTCATGCTGTCGTATTGGTCAGACCACTAATTACACTGCTCGGCTGTATGGTGTCAGTAAAGTCATAGGTATTGGTTGAAATTGTATTCACAGTTGTGGACACATTCCTTGCTGTGATTGTAATGCATCACACAAAGTACTTGCTCCATAACTGTGGACTCTACAAATATTAGTTAAAGTCCTGAAAGTGTGAAATGTTCACGCTGATAGATTTTGACCGAACTGGATGACAGGATGTGTCCATTCTGACTCAACCCAGTCTGACATTTACAGAATTCCACTCTGCAGCACACCACTGCGTAACAAGACCCACGTTTGTGTTGGCCCAGCTCAGTGTCTAAGCAAAGAGCATGTGACTAATTGTAAAGTGTATAGTATGTGGCCGGGTGCCGAGTTTTGTACAAATGCAAATTGTTTTGATGTCCACACGGTGAACAAGCAGGTCGCGCAATGTGAATGAGTGATTTTTTTCAGTTTTTGTTTTTATATTTTAACAATTCATGCGTGGTGTAAAGAATAAATTGATTTTGTGCGTATTTAAAGTGTTTTGTTCTGGCATTCATTGTTTTTTAAATCTTTAGCTCAATACACTGAGTGGTTGTAAGCTCAGGGTGTTGTTAGGTATTGTGCTTAAGACAAGATGGATCCATAAGCACAAACAGATCTAGTTAGGTATTCATGCGTCTCCATTCACGTGTCTTTGTGAGTTGAAGCTTCATTCATAATAGAACAACTAAAGAAACCTTCATTCGGGCTCTCGAGTGATGTATTCTAAATATAACAGCCAAGAAGCCTGGGTGGTTCAGAGGTTAAGAGTGCCAAGCTGTCACTGCTGAAAACCAGGGTTAAATTTCGGCAGCTACTTGTGATTAAGAACTGCTTTTGTGTTTATTTGTCCTTTCCCGAACCCCCCGAAGTTCAACATGCATACAAACCAGGCTCTCAAGTGTAGTGAGTTCATATCTTCAGCCTGGTCACCAGTGACTCCACAAAAGGACATTACATTAAATTTGGTTCTGCACTTAATTTGGCTAAATTCTATCTCGGAGAATGAAAGTAATCGGTTTGATTGTCGTGTGATGAACACTGCTCTGTAACAGAGTAGATTGGGAAAGTGCTGCCACCTATTGTGTGGATGAGAGGTCACGTAGGATTTCACAAGTAGTTATTTAATATTTGCTTCAGTGAGCCATTTTCTAACAGTCACACTGCTGTGCAAAATATCCGAATGGATGCTTTATCTTATGACATGAAAAGGGAAAAAAACCGTATCGCAGTCGCACCACTGACATCATCAGAGGGCATCTGAAATTCTAATATTGTCTCACTTTGGGTGCTTCAAACTTCGTCAAGAGGCCAGGATAGAGTAAGTGTGTTCTTTACCATCGTTGTTATTGTTTTGGATTGCATCCTCTTAAGTAGTTTATTTAAGGGATTGGTGGCGCAAATGTTTAACTTTGTGAGATTTAAACTAATTCATTGACCCTATCGGCGATAAACTGCGTACATTTAGGCATTCGGTACAATACACTAATACATTCACAAATGAATATATTGTTTAAATGTCAACATTGTACTAGAGTACACTGGCTTGCAATGGTAGTTTAAACATTGATCTTGTATGTACTGTATTAGGCGTCTTTATGATATTTTAATTGCAATGGTATAGCCTTGAGTTTGACTAGGATTACTACTTATTGATCGAGTATATTAAAGCAACATTTTAGTAATTATTTTAGAGGTGTGGGTTGATTAATAGGTACAGACATTGCTGTATTCTGGGCTGTAACATGAGCTTAAATATTTCTCAGTGACAAACCCAATACATTCACAGGGACCCTGCTGCATATCTCTGCTGTCATTGTACTGATTATCAATACATATGAAAGTGATGTCACTTCAGTGTTGTAATGATCTTATGAGGACTTTTTTTTAAATTAACAAATGTTTACATGGATGGCCGACACCCTAGGATTCACGGCATAGTTACGTACAAAATAAAAGTTAAAATTTGGGTTGAGTCTTTAACAAAGTTTTAAACTCATGTTCAACAATCCAGAAAACAACCGAAGCATGTACAAGACAGGAATTATTTATTGATATATGTTGAACGTGTCTCGCACCGTACGTAGCCAACCGTGCTAATCGAAGATGGTTCCATCGTAACCAGTAAGCATGTGTAGCGATTGCCCCACACAATCCCTGCGAGATATTAAGAAGGCGGGAGTAAACACTACGCTCTGATCGGTTAGGGCGCGGGGAGCAAGATAATTGGGGGGAGAATTTAAAAGGGAAAAGAGCTGGAGGGTTGGGTGAGCGTCAGGTGAGAGGGTGAGGCCAGTTGAGGGTAAGAGAGGCAATGATTTGGTGGAGATGGAGTGCGACGAGCGGCAGAGTCAGGAAGATGTTAAAAGAGTGAGTGGGAGGCGGAGTTCGTGGCGTTGCGGGAGAAAGCGAAGATGAAGGTGTGGACCCGTGCCGTGAAATAAAGACCTTAACCTTGTGCATAAATAAAAGGGCCAGACTCTTCTTTCACACGTAATGATTCAGCTTCCTATTTTTTGTAGTCTTAATTTTTATCTCGTTTACGTCTCTCATTTTTGCCCATCTCCTTCGCGCCGTTTGCTTTTCTCCGTTGCTCCAGATTCCACAATCGAGATTCAAGAAAATAATCGAGGAACGAACGAGTAAAGTCATAAGCCAACGAGTTGCCCCACGATGCCACCATCGGGATTCAAGAAAACGAGCAAAGTCACACGCGACGAACAAAGCGACCCACGATGCAACAATCGGGATTTTAAAAAAATCGAGGAACTAACAAGCAAAGTCACAAGCGAACAGGTGGACCCACGATGCCACAATCGGGATTCAAGAAATCGAACGAACCAGCAAAGTCACACGCGACGAACAAAGTGACCCACGATGCCACAATCGGGATTTTTAAAAATCAGGAACTAACGAGCAAAGTCACAAGCGAACAGGTGGGCCCCACGATGCCACAATCGGGATTCAAGAAATCGAGGAACGAACCAGCAAAGTCACACGCGATGAACAAAGTGACCCACGATGCCACAATCGGGATTTTTCAAAATCGTGGAACTAACGAGCAAAGTCACACGCGAACAGGTGGACCCCACGATGCCACAATCGGGATTCCATAAAACGAGCAAAGTCACACGCGACGAACAAAGCGACCTGTGGTAGCGTCCACAGATCTGCCCCACAGCTCCCTAGTGCAACACCCGGTTCATGAGCACCCGCACTTCGCGGCTGCGTCGAGCTTCGCGCCGCAAGCCGGGCTCGTAGGGCAGCTCGAAGAACGAGAAGGTGAAGTTGCGACTGAAGCGCAGGCTGGAGATGGCGCCGGGCTCGCAGCACGTGGGAGGGTCCGGACCCGGCAGCGGCCGAGGTTTGGCGGACGGCTCCGTCTGCCGTGGACGCGTGGAGGCAGCTGTCTGTGTTGTACCCCTGTGAGGAGGAGGAGGGAACGGAGTGGAGGGTGATACGTGCAGACCAGTGCCGGATGATCCTAGTAGTAAAAGTAGCTACAACACGTGTAGTAGCTGCTACACGTGTAGTAGCTACTACACGTGTAGTAGCTACTACACGTGTAGTAGCTACTACACGTGTAGTAGCTACGGGCCCCGCACTTTCAAGGGCCCCGCGCTAAATGCTTTCAAGTTATCAATTCGGGTTCAGTGATTCTGCACTTGCTCTATTGCTATAGTACTATACTGCCTTCAACTTTATGAACAACTGGGTGTTTAAGGTTAGCGATTTGTCGTATTATCTGTTGCTCTATAGCAAATGAAAAACTACAATTATTTTACTGTGCAAGTAAACAATGTTGTGTTTTAATATTTACGTGGTTTTTTTTGGGCCCCTTTACAACATATGCTACAGGCCTCGCACTAGCTTCATCCGGCACTGGTGCACACTCGTGTGTGTGCACGATGAGGACTTCCCGTGCGCCGAGATGACGGAGCGTCGTTTTTAAGCGGGCTCCTGCACCGTGCCATCTCGCAAATGCAGATGGAATGAAGGACACGCTTGACGCTGCCCGCTCCAGAATACAGGAGCTTTTGAGATGTTCAAACGCCAAATAGACACCTATCATATAAATTATCACAAGGCATCACGTCTGCGTGAACCACACGTGCTTTTGATAAAACATGCAGACGAACATGCTTTGATAACGTATGCATTGTCCTTGCAATCGCTCATCAATATATGAAGGAATGTCAATAAGCAGGCAAAACATAATGAAGATATATTGAGACAATGACCACATACATGCTCATAGCTGTCAACCCCTGATCAGTGCCGAGCTTGCTACAGACCAATTCAGACCGTATTGGTCACCCCGTGCCCCTTATACATCTCAACGTTCATCCTATAAAGTCCCATCACAAGGGAGAAACACAAACATACACTTTTTTTGCCCGTATTGAAACGGCTGTACGCCGTATGGACCTGAACACTCAATTTCCCTGCATAAGCGTACGGAGTAAACCGTGTGGGTTAACAGGTGTGCATGCTACATATCCATGGATAAGCATAATAAGATGGCATTACATCTCGCTGGAGCATGCGTAGACGATGTATGCCAAGCAGGTAGGTAAATAACAAGTTTGTAATCTAGCAAAAGTCATTGTGGAAGGGTTACCA